AAAAAAAGCCCAATACCGCAATACCCATGGTAAACCCCCATGTCCCCCTCCGTAAAAGCGACAAAATACGATTATTTGCAAGGTAAAGATCTCTAAATTTGATCGTAAAAACGACATTTAACGATAAAAGTACGACTCCAAAACTCTTCTTCCGCCCGTAGTTGCACCGTGCCTTTGTCGTAAAATGACAAAACACGATTTCTTTACGATTTTTTTATGGTAAAAATCTCTGAATGTGATCGTGAAAACGACATTTCACGATAAAAATACGAGTTCAACACTCTTCTTCTGCTCGTAGTTGTACCGTACCTTTATCGTAAAAGCTACACAATACGACTTTTTGAAAACTTAGTTTACGACATGAATACGATTAATTTAAGTTAATTTACGATGTAAATACGATCTCTTTACGACGCAAATAAGGTCCCAATACGACTTAAAATACGATCCTTTTACTATCAAAATACGATCTAGAGGTCAGTAGTGGTACCTTGACATATCAGTTGCAAGACGTATAATAGAAACCTTGAGCAAGCAATCACCATAAAAGACTGCTCATCTCACATTGAACATTTCATAACCAAGGTAATGGAAAACAAAACCTACATTTAACTTTGTTAAATATTTTAACAAAGTATCTGGCGACTATGCTAATGAACTCTTACTCTGAGCAAACACCTATAATGCTAAGCAGGAGACAGTGCTTGAGTTGGCCTGCAAGCTGTTAAGTATATGGGAAGAGTTTTTCATTGTGTGGGAAAGTGCCCTATTCTAGTGCAGTTATGTAATAATGACATGGAAAGGGAAAATATTTTGCTTATCAAAACAGGAACTATGGAGTTCTGTTTCTGCCCTCTCCTGTTAGGTACATAGTTAGGCTAGTTGAGTAATGTTAAGAAGATATGCACCTGCATTTACTTGCTTCCAGTTTTAGAAGATGTGACAAAACGTCTGAAAGCTGTCCAGTCTAGGGCCCTCACATTTTATATGTTCCCTAATACTAATACTGAATAAAGGCAGTATCAAAAGGATATGTGAAACTTTTTACCAAAAACATACGTTTTTTTTGTTAATTTTTTGTTTCTGTTTTTTTTTTTAAGGTTGCAGAAGTTGGTGATGTATCTGAACTTGACAAAGAGGAGACAACCAGTGTTCTCTCAGAGAGTGGACTTTCCATGACATTAACTGTAAGTTTGTAAATGTTGTGATGGCATTATTGGGTCAGTCAAGGTTTCTGGGATTCTGCCCACCTTCCCCTCCCTAACCTAACATTTTGCCTAAAGTGAGAAGTTAGTGTTAATGTTGGGTTAGGGGAGGGGTAGGTGGGCAGTTTCCCAGAAACCTTAACTGATCCGCATTATTTTTAACAGCATATTATTAACAATAGTGAAAACTCGGTATTGATAGAAAAGTATTTTAAAACTTACACATTCAATGTCTGATCAGGAGAGAAGCCATTCAAAAGCACTTTCAAGCTTGCTCGACAGTGAAGTGAAATTCACAAATAATAAAAAAAAACCACGAAACAGTTTAAAAGAAGAGAAGCAAAAATAAATATTCTTTTAGATCAGGCCCCAGTTGCGCAAAAGGTGATTAACCCTATCCACTGGTTAAATGACCATCCAGTGAATAAATAAACAGTTAGAAACAGATTAAAAATAAGTATTCTATACCACGAAATAAATTTAAAAATATCTAAAATACAGATCCTTACAAATTACATAAATTGGATAAAACGACAACTAATTAAAAATAATTTTCAAATACCTAAAATCTGAATCATTGTTATAAATAAAAGAGCAGTCTTTTTTGAAATTGATGCCCCTTATGACACCTTTAATTGTGGACTGCACTATCCATCATTTGACCAGCTTGGGACAGGTGCATATGTTTTCATGAAGAGAACGGATTTACCTGCATGTACATGCAAATGTTGCAATCTCCTTCTCAAGGATATTGTTACCTACAACTACAACTTACAGGTCGTTGACCAGTTTCTTACTGTATTATTGTTGTTCTGTGGATGTCTTTCAGAATGATAACAAAAATTAATGCGAGTCATCCAAAGCCTTATTGTACATGATGCCATTGGAAAGCCCAAAATACTTTTAGATCAACTAAGGGAAGGACTTCAGACCCTGGGATTTGGGTCCAGAATGCAAGTATATCCTGAGCTTTTCAAAGAGCTATTTGTGGCAGGAGAAAAGGAAATGAAGGGTTCTGACATCAAGGAAATATTGAGGTTTCCATCAGAGATGAGTGATGCTGAAAAAACCATCATGGAGCACATGACTGAGTTCATAGTTGGTGCAACACCAGATATTCTAAAGGTATTCCTCACCTTTGCTACTGGGGCACCCTGCTTACCAGAGTTTGGTTTAGGAAGGATCGGGATCGATTTTGAGGATGCTGGTTCCATTTTTTTTCCTCTACTTGCACAAAGAATGTAACCTTGCCAAGAAATTACCCTGACAAGGACACCTTCCTGGCTGCACTTCAAGCAGTTTGTGATAATAGTGGGAAGGCATTCACTAATATTTAACATCCATTTACGGCATGTTGGATCATTAGTTTAAATTTAATGTTTGCATGTTTTAATACACACTGAGAGGAATATGATGTAATAAGTCCAACAGGGGTCCAAACATTTGACTTATGGGAAAAAAGGGGAGAGGTACATGGGCAGCTGGTAGTTCCATTATTACATAACAATCTTGAGAATCTGAAAGATAACTTCAACTTCCACCTATCCTGATGCGGTACGAAAAACAGAAAAAAAAAATTATTGCTTGCAGTTTCTTCCTTCAACTGTACTGTGGAAAAGAGGGGGAAAAGGTGCCCTGCTTTCATGCTGGACGTGGTATTCCTGTGGTGAAGAATTTCCTAAAAGCATGCAACAAAAAATTGTTGCACAGTCATAGTCTTTATAGGTAAAACGTCTAGTAGCACACACAAAAAAAACGAAAAAAATCAACAATGGATTTATTCAAAGAAAACACTGTTTTTGCTACTCTCATTTTCACTGTTACGTGTCCTTCCAGAACAAAAGCCCTTGGAAACAGAATTCTGGCAATCAAAGGATGCAATAAGTGCTGGCATGGCTTCCTCTTCAAAACATTCTGCAACCCCATTGCCAAATGATTGGGCTCTTTGAAGGTGTTTAAGTTTCATGTTGCAGGGAATGGTACAACTTTAAAATTATTACAGTTTTGTGTAAATGATTAAAAAACATACAGTTTTGTTTACGTTACTGAAAGGTAAACTGTTCCAGATTATTTATGATGTTTAAACGAAGAAAAGTTCTTTATAACACGGGTTTGTGCATTTTTAAGAAGATATTGACTGCTTTATAGTCTTTCACATTATAACAAAATTATAGTCAATTAAAGGCACTGCCACCTAGTTTCAGTTTTTTTCTAATGACCTGGAATCAAACTGTTGATTAAATTGTGATGAATCCTACTGTTACAGTTCACTGATTTTTTACAACAATATTAGAAACTGACAGTACCCACATAGTAGGAACATGGATGGGTTTTGGTGGTATTTTTTTTCATATAATATAGGAGGTTAATAAGTGTGACGTCACTGATCCGACCCCCCCGTTTGTTTACCAAATACAGTGTAAACATGTAGATAAAATGCACTTATTAGGTTCTAGGCACAGCCACTTTCTTTCTTGAAAGAATAAATCTATGCATGTATTTTTTGCCACAAAATTCTTCAACAGGAACTTTCTACTGGAGGAAATTTATGCTCACTTGCAAATGCTAGAACTAGAAGATGATTTTGTGACTTATAAATTCCAAAAACTACTCACCTTTCGCGAGTTCGTGAGTGTTAAAAAACATAATTGGAAACCCTGTAAAACCAGTCATTTATTAGTGTCACCTCTTGCTGCTGTAGAACAACTGTAGAACAACCGCATCCACTGTGGTCACTGAGGCATGAACATGGAAACTCCAACATTTTCAGAGCGCACCCTGGATGGTAGACCAAACTCTGACACAGCCTCAAGGAAACATGCAAAAACGGTGCTTGCCTTGGTATTTTTTGAACATTTTAAATAGACTGGTATTCTATAGTTCTATAAACCGTTGCAAATGTTTGCAATTTCTCCTGTATTTAAACAAGACCGCGAAGACAGGCTAAGGAGTCCGCCATTTTGACACTGAGCCCCAGTTTTCCTCGGTTAAGTCATCAGAGAGTCGTTCCCAGACTGCTGAATATTTGAAGCACCATTTACGAAAACAGCGGCAGCATTTTTTAAGACAACAGAGTCACCATATACAAAGATAAAGGCACCAGTTTAACAAAACAAGAGGCACCATGAACAAGTTTAGAGGCAACATATGTGAAAACAGAGGCACCATAAACAAAAATAGAGGTACCATATACTCATAAGATATAGGCACCATGTTAACACAATAGGAGGCACCATTAAAAAAATATAATAAAAAAAATGGGAGCACCATTTACAAAATTAAAGGCACCACTTACAAAAACAGAGGCACCATTTATGAAAACGAACGCACCATAAACAAAATTGGAGGCAATATTTACGAAAGTAACGATAGCTGAATTTTGGCGGTAATGGCACCCCATAAGAGATTTCGGTGTTTCTGTGATGTTGCTTCATGAATATGAGTTGTAAAGGAAGTTAACATAACAAACATACATGATCTTAAAGATGTAGAACTCCAATCAAGTTTGTCCCCTAGGCTGAAAAAAAAAAACAGCCAAAAACGGCTGATTAAGCATGAAGAACAATCCTCGACTTTGCTTGGGAGAAGTACAACCCCCTCATAACAATACAATAATGACAGCTCTCAAAATTTCCATTACTACGGTATCACGGTGTCACATTATCGATCAAGTTGTATTTTAGAAGCCTGGAAATTAAAAAGAAGTCAATGATTTTTGAAAGCACAATTGTCATACAAAAACACAGTCGTGACATATGAACTGATAAATCTATGGTATTTAATGTCGTGTTTACTCTAAAACTCCAGTTTATATACTTCTAGTTCCGTGATTGCAAAGGAGTAATTGCCGGTGAAGTACTCTTTTTTGTTCACAGAACTGGGACAGTTAAAGCCATAACCAAGATCAAGGTAACCCAATTGATTTCCGTTCCAAGTTGTAAGAGCATAGTAGCTCTTATTACCGAAAACTGGTCCCATATTTCTTACGCACCGTATGCCTCCATCTAATGTTTGAGAGATCTTTACCGCTTCTTTCCCAGCAGGATTGACTAGTGTAAACAAGAAGGACTCACTGTCAGCAAAGGCGGTTACAGAGGAAGCTAAACAGTAAAAACAAGCAAATTGTAAAGGGAAGTGAAAGTCCTACCCAAAAGGGACTAAAATTCCCAAAATAATTTCAAACTGGGTTTCCAATGGATGGAAGTCAATGATCACTAACGTAATTCGACTAGATGGTGAATAGGAGAAGTTGTTAGATATAGATGAATTGATGGTCCGTCAAATTGACTGATATCAATCGCTCCCAGTTTCAATATTACGTTGTTAGGGTGATATCAATTTTATTAATACGCGATATTAATCTTTATAAATTAATAGTGGCTCATAGGAAAAACAAAGAACGTGAGTCAAAACAAAAGAGTACTTGACTGTGTTGTTCATTAGGTACGGTTTTGTTTCCTTTGATTCACAAAAAAGCGAAAACCTCAACAGAATTCCGTTTACTTGATCCTATTGCACCAATGATATATGTTGTCATTTTTGTTGTGTTGCTTAACTGTACTGGCCTTTACCGTTGATAATGATGACGGTGATGATGATGGTGGTGGTGGTGGTAATAACGATGATGATAACGATGAAGATGAAGAAGATGAAAATGCACGCCATGTACGACCCAGGGACTTCTTTCTCTATGAAAATATACATTTCATCTTTATACTAAAATATATTTGATCAAGCACTTACGTGATGTCCATGACTTTGACGTGTAGCCACCGAAGATGTATTCCTCACTTTGTATCACTATAAGGGTAGGCCCTTTGTTGTCACAGCAACGGTGAAAGTCCGCACCAGAAGGCAACCATGACATGACAGTGGAGGCTTGACTGTTTTCCGTTATTATTTTGGATCGTTTGGTTAAGCTTTCTGTTAGTTGAGAGATTATCCCTTGAACTTGATAAAAACTGGCCTCATTAAGCAGCTCATTCCTGAGCATTTTATCGTCTGGACAAAGAAGTTCACCATGACGAAGGTAATTCAATATGTATCTAAGTGTATAAAGTTTTTCAAGGAAAGTTAGTCCCAAGTAAGTCATCAGAATTAGATAGACGAACTATACAAAAAAAATTCAGTGAAATGACGTAATTACAATCATTTTTCAGTTCACGCCTGTAAAATGACTTTTAAATTACGTCCAACTTCACGTGACACGGACCTAATGCTAATGCACCCCGGGCTAACCTTAACACTAACCTACCCCGGGCGGCACATGGTTGCCTTTGACTTACGTTTTGCCGTTGCTAGTAAAAGCCATTTTGAAACTGGACTTTTTAAAAGGGGAGAATCTGGTAGTGCCAGGCCCCCACGCGGTATGAAATTAGGCGGCATACGCCTGAACCCACCTCAATGTTCTTGTCACAGGGGTTATACGAATGTACTCTTACCAGGGAGGCGGACCCCAAAAATTAAGAGACGCGGGGGGGGGTGTACACTAGTCAGCTATGTAGATACGTTCTAATGAGAATTCTTCAAAAAGCTGTTACACAATTTCAGAGAAAGGGAGGGGCACGGAAGTGATTTCCCTCGCTATCCACCCATGCTTACCTGAAAAGTTTTCCATCGCGGTCAATAAAATATGCTCCATCTTCGCCGTCTGGTTTCAGCTCGTGTCTTCCTGAAAACATAGCACACAGCATAGAGTCTGGATCTTTCCTCAGAGTTTCCAGTGTGGTTTTATAGATCTTTCCACCGACGTTCAACTTAACCGAACTTCCAAAATGGACTTCATCAAGGGTTTTCGACAACTTTTCGAAGGCTGTCTTTTCTTCTTTAAGGTTATCGAGATCCTGCTTAAGCAGCTCACGAGCTTCGTTCATAAGCTTGTGTGCTTCGGCTACCTTAGCGCATGCTAAGTCAAATAAGCCAAGTTGCAGTTCCTCTTTGGCAGCCATATTCGCTCGGCACTTCTGCCGTGAAAGTGGAAGCCGGAAGTGAAAATGAGACTACGTTCCTCTCGTCAGCGGCCTCGATTGTCGTCATGTAACAAAAAGCTTGCTGCTTTGTTTCTCTCACCGAGCGTGGCTTACTAGTAATACAAAAGATTGAAAAGACGAAGGTGGCATTGAACAATACTCACACCAGAAGACACAAACAACACAACAAACAACGCAACATCTGTTTTAGCCTTCCCCTGCAGACGTTCTTTTGGCTCGTCACGCAATCCCCCCGCTGAAACGAGTGGATAAAAACGTAGACCAATCACAGCACGCTTCCGGCTTTGGAGCTAATGAGAAATTTCGCGCGATTAGAAAAGATCTCCAGGTGAAGCCCCACACTTTTAGAGCAAACCCACAAGCCTTCGTACTCCTTTCTTGGGGCAGAAACGCGTGACGAACCCCTAAGAACGTCTGCGTGGGAGGCTACAATTATTTTCGCAACACCAAGAAACAACTCTCTCGCAGTGAGAAAGGCCGTGGCAGGGTTGCAGAGCAGCTTAACCGAAATCGTTGCTGTCGCTGGGGCACAATCATTAAACCATGAGACCAGACGAGAAGCACAGTTACCGTACTTCCTCTTACTCTGTATTTGCTCAGTTTTCATCACGCGCGGGTGTTTGATGAGTCTTTGAAGTGTAAACTGGAATCGAAATTGGAACGTTCCTTGATTAATTCCCACCTTGTTAAGAAGCTCACCGCTAAGAGTTTTGTTGTCGGGGCAACGAAGCTCACCATAACGAGGTTAGTTCAATATGTACGTACCTAAGAGTATATTTAGCAATTAATGAATGAGGCTGAGTAGGATATGAAGAATTAAGCAGATCTCGGAGGGTGTTATCCACCTCGGCCTTGGGCCTCGATCTGCTTAATTCTTCATATCCTACTCAGCCTCATTCATTAATTGCTAAATATACTCTTAGGTACGTACATATTGAACTAATTGCTTTATTATTCATTTAAAATATTTCCTAGTTTATAAACATAGCTAACACATGCTTACCCACATCGACGTTAAGTTCATCTTCTATAGTGTACGTTTAGGTTGTCTAGCTCCGCAAATATTCTCGAGATAGCAGATGTCGCCCTCCGAGTTGTCTTCTTGCTGTTTTTGCCATGTTTTTAGCTATTTTTTCCCCTAGTTCCAGCTGTAAGTTCTTACTCTTGAAACGAGTGAAATGTCCGCCATTTTTTTTTCACAACCAAAACAACTCAACCTCGTCCCCAGGTCTTCTCGGTAACAGTGCCTTAACCTGTACCGCGCTGTATTTGTGACGTCATTTCCTCGTTAAACACAAAATTCTTCCAAATTCGGTCATCAGTAACTGGTTATGGTGGATTATACGTGTGCTTTTAGCCAATCAGAATTGGGGAAATATTTTGAATGAATAATAATATAAGTTAAAGAACTAAAATCTAACATGGAATGGCCGTGGAAACTATGACATCATTTAAAATTTCGTTTTTTTTGTTGTTAAAAAATGTGAAATTAAATAATCAGCGCTTTCTAGATAGGTGTTTTCTTCTGACCGTGGAGAATGTGTATCATTTCCCTATCTACGCATGAACAAGGATGAAGATTCCTCTTGCATGCTCCTGTCGGTACGACGGACATGCACCTACAAAATACCGGAAGAGGTTACCATCGCGGCCAATGAAATATGCCCCATGGTTTCTATGAATGGTGTCTTCCTGAAAACATCATACAGAGCATAGAGTCCGGGTCCTTCCTGAGGGTTTCCAGCGTAGTTTTACATATCTTTCCACCGACGTTCAACTTAACCGTGCTTCCGAAGTGGACTTCATCTAAGGTTTTCGTCAACTTTTCAAAGGTCGACTTTTCTTCTTTAAGATTATCGAGACCCTGCTTAACCAGCTCAGGTGCTTCATTCATAAGCTGGAGTGCCTCAGCTACTTTAGCGCATGCCAAGTCAAATTAGCCCATTTGCAGTCCCTGTTTGGCAGCCACATTCGCTCAGCACTTCCGTAATATATAGATTTAGCCAGGGCTAAAAGCGAGGCTCCCATTAGTAAATTTATAATTTAAATTAAACAATAAACTTGTATTCGAATTCCACAATTCAGTTAACTTTAGAGCACATTTATGTGACTTTTGAGGGAAAGGCTACCTGATTTTAGAGAAAAATGATTTGCAAACAGCCCAAGAGTGAACCAAATCTTACATCGAGTTGATAGCCTCATGATCATATGTACACTCAAAAACTGGTAATCATCTTTTATCACATTTAAGAGCCGTAATGGCTATTGATCACCGTAGATCAATTAGGCTTAGAAAAAAAACCAGGCCAACGTTTTGGCGTTCGACAAGTTTACTTTGCAAAATCTTGCCAACAAATCTGGGTGCGTGTAAACCAACCTTTTATACCATGGACAGAAAGCAGTATTTCACAATACAAATTGCTCTCATTCAATATTCATAAACTGTTAAAAAATTTTTCCAAAATCACCTATACGGCCATCCGGTTCTCACTTTTGTAGTGCGAGCTGTAGCGAGTGTTTGAATGAACATTAACAGAGTTACGCTCCAAGATAATAAAGAATTTATCATGTTTATTTTTTATTTGATGGTTTAACGCGCGGCATTTTGAGAACTCCTGCAAGCGATGTTCACTGAACGACTGAAAACAATCGGCATAGCGATTAAAATTGCAAGAGAGACTACTAACAATCAATAAAAGAAATATAATTCGGTGAAACATAAACAGAGACAACAATTTTCATTCAGGAAGACAAGTATTAAAGTGTCCCTAAATATCCTGAATCTTCAAGCTTCAAGCTTAAGTTTGCTGAAGTTTATGTTTTAAGCCAGCTTCCCGGTGTTTGTTTTTTGAAAGACGAACTCGAGGCAAGAAAATCGCTCAAAGCTTTCTTTTCCGGCTAGAATTATAACTAAAGATTCTTTGGAACATTTTCTTTCTATTTGCGGTGAGAAACTGTCTAAAGGCTTTTTAAAGTTCTGTAAGATTATATCAAACCAGATACTCGGTGAGATCGTTGTCTCAAATCTTACAAACGCGCATAAAATAAATTCCCGCATAAACTACGCTCCACTTCATTAAATTAGATACAAAAAACAAACATGAAATACAATAATTTCTCTGGCTTACCATTCGAGATGCAGCTCCTGAAAGTTATCAGGTAAAGCCAGTATCGCTTCAGACTTTGCAATCCTCTTACGCATCAAGCAAGGTGAAAACGAAAACGATGCCATCCGAAATCGGATTTCCGACTTTGACAAGCGACGTTTTCTCAACCAAAAACCCAATAAACAAACTAGCCATGAGTAACAGAAGACTCCTGATAGCAGCTGAATTTCATTTTGTACATCCAGTGGAAAAAAGACAGTTAAAAACATCACAAGTTGACACAAAACTCTGTCAGCTTCAGCTGTTAAAGTAAACAAGATTCAAGATGCTGCATAAATTTTGCGCATGAACTCACCTGTCAAATTTTGACCAATCAGAGCATAAAAATTGGACGTAGAGCGTGACCAACGCGTGACCATTGTGAGAAAAAACAAAAGCAACTGTCTTCCCTGCCTGTAACAGCTGGCTGAATTTTCACGTCCGAGGTCAGTTTGCAATCAAAATTTTAATTGTGCAGCACATAAACACAACATATTTCATATGAATTAAGAAAAAAAATTGAACTTGAGCCTGCGATCACTTGAAAATTAGTTTACTTGTCAGCGGATAACTTCAAAAAATACTTGACCTCGACGGGTCGACACCTGAGCCCGCCATACGGTCAAGTGATACTGGTCAGCGGGTACTCTGTTTTGACAGGTGTCAATTGATCAAAACATTGATGTCCAATATGTGTGCATTATCAGTTTTCCTGTGCTCCCAAACTAGTAAAAGTATGAGATTGAACGTTGTTCGCGATCTAGTAAAACAGTTAACTGGTCAGCGGACAGCTTCCAAATAAATCACGTCACCTCGATGAGTTGACACATGAGCCCGCGATATGGTCATGGGATACTGGTCAGTGGCTATCCTGTTTGGACAGCTGTCAATTGACCATATTGTTAATGTCCTATATTAAAGATGTGGACTTGCCAAGACACGCCTGAGACACCCCTCCCTTCCTTTTGATAGTCTCCCCTACCCCACCCATACAATCTGTAGACGCGTACGTACGTACGTATGTACGTACGTACGTACGTACGTACGCTCGGTCAATCACGTGACAACCAAACGAAAAGAGGTTGACCATATTCCATGGGTATGGGGCTCTGTCCCACGCGCGCTTCGCGCGCGTGGGAGCCCCGCTAAAAAAATGAGACTACATTCCTCACCGTCACTGGACACGATTTACGTCGAAAAACGAAGTGTAAGGCTAGTGCGGAGATCAATCGTCTTAAACTGATTTATTGCCCGCCACCAATGACAGCTTAAGGCGTAATGCTTTTTTTAAAATTTATTTACATTAATAAATTAATTAATCAACTACTGAAAAGTTTTGAAAAGCTGAAAGCTTTTTATCCAAACAGTCAGTTCCAGCATTCGCAACTTTCATCGTGTCATCGTGTTGAACAAGCTACAATGGATGATATTCTTACTGCATACATAATTGGCCAGTGTAGCGGGAAATAAGTAAGCTTCCGCGCTAGTGGCATGATGCATTGCTACCCTTACTTAGAATTGTTTAGATTTTGCCCAGGTCAAAGGATTTTAGTGGATGCAAAAGTGGACTTAAAAGTTTCGCCCCTCCCACCTCCGGTGGTTGCGGTTGACGTCGCATACCCTTATTATTCGGCATTCCTATTTTCCTGGCAGTCGCGGTTTCCTCCCATTGTCGGGGCAATGGGTATGCATTGCGAATAAATATTATGCCAGTCATACACCATACTTTATAAATTAGACTGATACTTGTAATTAGAAACTGATTCTGTTCGACCAGCTCAGTGTAAAGAGAAGGGTGCTATGACTAGAAAGAAAAGGCTTCTCAGTGTATTGTTAAATTATTTCCATCAGCACCTCCAAAAGTGTTTCATCGTGAAGATGTGCCTACTAAACTCTTTGCCAACTTGTTAGCTTACTCCTTGGCTTCGCCTGTGAACAGACGTCTCCCTTCCCTCAGGAAATAATCGGGAGAAGAGACGTCTGTACACAGGGAGGGGAGACATCTGTACACAGACAACTTTTAGATAAGTTAATAAATAGTCCTCCTAGAGGTGGCGCAGTATCTTTAGTAGATTGAGCATCAGGATGTTTGCTATGAAGTACCCTTCTGGTAGGATTCTATAAGTTGATTGGTTAACTAGAAGAAACAAAAGAAGAACGAAATTTTAATGATTATAATGATCATAATGTTCTCGTCTTTCGTCATTATTTTGGTCTCCACATTTACAAAGATACAGTGATACCTGCATGAATAACTCGGACACCAACGGGCCATTCGCTAGTGTCTGCTTCATAGCGGTGTCCGGTAAATAAAGGTTTGAAAGAAAATTTGAGAACTTACCAACGCTTGCAGGGGGTTCATTAAGGGCCGGGCACCGGGCAAATTGACCGGCTGTGAACACGACTTTGCCCGGCTGCTTTACATCTCAAAGAACTTCTTTTTAATACAGGGAACGATCAAAAACAGTTTTAAGTTACAATCGTGCCCATTTCTTGATGAGTCTTATCGAGTGTAAAACATACTTTGCGGTGTAATTTCCACTTTATTACACGCGGCATGAAATCCCCTCGTTCTTTGTGTGTTAAAAACAAGAATCGCCCCATAATACATTGCGAAAAGAACTGTGCTTCATAAACGACCACCTGAAATGTAGCAGTGTTGCGAGCATGTGAGCATGGCGGCCCAGAAAAGAACGCGTTCGATAGCGTATTATTTTTCGGCTTCAACCAAAGAGCCTCCAGTAGAGAAAAGACCAAGAGATGAGTAGACTTCTTTGTGATTTAACCTTTTACTTGCCTGTATATATTGAATGGCTTAATCATCATGTTCAACGAAGCGAAGCGTGATTTTTATTCGTCTTATGGTTTACGCCAATGAATTAATTTTCGGTGCGTTCACGTTAAAACAGTGCTCCTCCCGTCTAGTCATTGAAATTTTAAAGATAAGTTGATTACGGCTCAGATGCTGACGGTGAGTTTGAGTAAAGATTATTATGAGCAGAGCTATTAAAAGAGAACCAAAAAGTCCAATTTGTGTGGTGGGTATTGGTATCAAATCATGATTAAATTGTCTAGAAAAGTTATCTTTTTTTGGTTGTTGAAAGTCATTGTCTGCAGCTTCAAAATGCAGGAAAACACATCCTTACGACTATAGAATTTCAAAATTTTCCGGGGGAGCATCCCCCCAGACCCCCCTAGAGGGCAAGGCCCTCCGGGCCTTGCCAATTCTTTGCCCGGGAGTCAAACTCAGTTGCCCTCCTGTTCAAAACCTTAATGAACCCCCTGCGCTTGTTTCAATGTTACACAGGGAACCCACTAAACATGCGGTCCCTGTGATAATAAGTTTCGCTACTTTTCATTTTTAATGGTAACATAACCCAAAAGAAATATAACAGAAACACCTACACTTTCAAATTTTCTGGTAAATTCAGCGGTGAGTTCATCTTCTGTCATTCCGCGAGGAACCAGCGAGCTGAGAGAAGAGGACGGGTTTGTGTTAAGATACTTGTCTAATTTTTCTCTGGGGAGATAATCTTGCCTTGCTTTCACCTATATTGGAGAAATAAGAGAAAGGAAATCAGGTTTCATCTCATTTTCAACATAGCAGTTCCTTATTTTATCAGTGTATATTAGAAATGTAAAAACGGGATAATACGAATTTTCAATTGTGGCCAAACATGATCGGGACAAGGTTATAATATGCTGATGAATAATTAAACCTTAAAAGCTTGTGAGTTGCTGTCTAAGTGAAATGACAGTGTTGCAGTGAATCAGTCTACCTTTGTTCGCTAAAGATGGGCAATGCGTCCTTGATAGTTTTAGTCCAACGACAATTTGTTTGTCCAACCAATATGTTATCTTAGCCGAAAATGGCCTTCAAGAAAGAAACATAATTTGCGGCACTACAGAGAATTAGAGGAGCTATACTGTTGTGTAAATCTCATTATAATCAATTGGAGGGAATCAAGCATTTTATTACCCTGAACAGCACAATTCCGCTCGGTGGACCAGCGCCACACTCTGCTAACTTCGTAACAGCTGTACTTTGGAGTATAGCTTAGATCGTTATTTAGAGTTGTTTCAACTACGCCAATGATAATAATGATAATGATAATGATAATGATAATGATAATGATAATGATAATGATAATGATAATGATAATGATAATGATAATGATAATAATGACGATGACGATGACGGTAATGATGATGACGATGATGATGATGGTGATGATAAGCTCTAACCATATCCTACCTTTGGCGCAGGAAGTTCTTCCATTCTCCTTGCGTCTGCCAATCGTACAAAAATAGAACTTCCCTCTAGGTATTTGATCTTCAGAAATTAACATGGAAAGAAAGTTTATTAGTAGAGAGCGAATATGGCGAAATGTTACACTTTTCCTGGAATTTTCAATCTCTAATAATTTCTGAGCAATATAGGACATAAATTTCAGTGTTATGCAATGACAGGACATAAAAGCACGATGAGAATAAAATCCTACCATTTTCCTTCGCCGAAAGCTGGCGAGGACATTGACACAGCTATCGGTTCGAAGAGAATTAACCACAACCTGAAATTGAAATACAACGAAAGAAGTGCTGCATGAGCTAGAAGATTTTAATCGACGAAGATGCTTCACGAATGACCATAACCTATGAAGGATTAAAATAATTTCGAATTGATCAACAAACCCAACCTCGGGTGGGTCGCCAGCGTAGAGAGGAAGCTGAAAAGAGCCATCCATAACGTACCCTTCGTTAAACACTTGAACTGCACTCCAAGCCTATAACGTTATAACAATAATAAAAAGGTCTGTTGGTGCACGTACTTTGTTACAACCCTGTTATAGATGCTTAAATCGCTTTGTAACTCGAGTCAAGCAAAAACACGAAGCTTTTACTAAAGCGCACTAGTCGACGGAGCGCGTGTACGGCAAGCGAAAAACGCCAATTGTACCACGTGACCACATTCGTTCTTTACTTGTCATTAGCTTAAGCCCCATTCACACCAAAGCTTAAACATGTTTAAAAACGTGTTTAATTAAACAGAGTTTTAATTTTCTTTCTTTCATAAAAGCTGCTTACTAACTTAAATGGATTGCAAATTTAGTGCAAATTACAAAACATGTTGAATTTCCTTTGGGAATCCTGTGTGAACGCTGTGTCCAGTTTTCCAAGTCGGCTTTTAATTTTTCTAAAACTTGGTTTAATTAAACATGTCTAGTTAGTGTGGATGAGGCGTTAGTCTACTGACTTCACAAAATTGAGTCGTCTTACGCCAACTGCGTCCACAATGGTTTATTTTGTTTCATCTGCTTATTTCTCAGCTCGAAACATTATTGACTGCAATCTGAAGTTTGTCATTTGCCGCAATCTCTCTATGACATTCAAAACAAGCAATTCCCGTATGCTCAGTAACCAACTGCAACTAGCTTGTAGTCGAAGCTAATACATAGGACTTTTATTAAGAAGATTTGCATGTGAAAAGATTCCCCGTATTAACTCCGACTGTAAATTAGTCCCCGTGTTCATAACTGAGAATACACGTAGTAGAAGAAAAGTTCTTCAAAGCTAAGGCTATTACTCTCACCCAGTTAATTAACTAAGGTTTTTGAAAGGTTCTTAAAAAGCTCTAAGTGCTCAGAACTGAAACTGCTGTTGCTGTCGGCGTCATTTGTTTTCAACGAAAAGAATATTATTGTTTTAAGAAAATAGCAATCTGTACCTGGCCTTGTAAACTGAAAGTTGTTTTACTCTGACTCGAATCCACCACTAACTCATGTAAATGAATAATGATGACCATAAACCTATGGTATATACGGCGTGGAAATACCTGAAACACAACACACAACAAAGACAACGCTATCAACGCATTAAGCTTAATGTACTTGTAACCGGCATAACAAACGAAATGCCAACTTTTTTTTCTTTTTTTTTTAAATTTAATTTATTATTTAAGCTAAATTTACATCACACAAAACGTATACATATTACACCTTGCCGAAACAAACATAAAAATAGCTGAGGTTACATTTATGCTTGAATTCGCTTAGCTACTTACAATAAAAGGAAAGGACGGTGAACGGTGGACGGTGGATGGCTCAACTTTGCAGGACACATGGCTAAGTCAAAGCGATTAGCTAGAGGGTAACAAGTGCAAGCAACAAATTTAAATAAGAAAAAACTTCCATTTGTTTGAAAAGACGGTGAAAGAATTACAGCGGAGTGCTTCTTGTTTTTCTATCTCAATGACGGAATTTAGTTTGCTTTTAAAAAGAGTCATGGAGGGTGACGTACCTGCAAGTTTGCTCGAGTATATTTGATGTCTCCCAATAAGAAGAACGAGATCAATGGCGGTAGAGGGTGCAAATTTAGAGAGTCTCGTCAGATGCAAATCGGTTAGTACAGTACAGTGCACCTCATGGAAATTTTTCTCCCTGAGCCAATTAAACATTTCGCTTCGTTTAGCTTGCCCTGATAAGCCTCTAACATTCAATGAACATATATTTAAGAATTATAATGGTGAAAACCAATTATTATTATTCTGCACTGAAAAAGCATCCACCGTAACAAATATCTATAAACCCAAGCAAGGATGTAACTAACGAAAACAATACAGACCGCACATACGATAAAAGAAAAAAAAGAAAAAACCCATTGCTGCGACTTCTACAAACGGACATTATACTACTACAAAGAGAGCATAAACAATACACTACTAGCATACACGGGCTCTTTCACTAGGAATGGAAAGTTATGAGCTGGTGCGAACTAAGACCTTTAGGTAGTGCTCCTAATTGTTTGTACGATCCGGACGACTATTTGGTCGGAGCTGCGTCATAAACACATTTTTGAAATGCCAACTTGGTCATGTGTCATGGTCTTCGCCGTGTCCGTCTCGAGTTGTTTAAAGCCTTAATTTGCAAGATAACCTGAGAGATTCAATATCGTCTGTCCCGTACTAGACTGCTTGCAGTCCGTCTTTTCTCTTAAAAGCCGTCTAGTTCTTATCTCATCCAGCGCGATTGCAAACCACGACGTTATTATTACAATTGAGATTCTCGGGCTTATGCCCTCGTTTCTCGCGGCTCGCAGCTTCGCCGCTCGCGTGCAGTAACTTTGCAAAGAAAAATAAGAGACTGCTCGAAGTCTAGTCCCGTACCTTTAGACTGCATTGGCTGTCGTCATTTCTGGTAAATACGTGTATGTAATATTGTTACTGCTTGTGCAAAGTGGAAAGGTATGTTGTAATTCCAGAGGTTCTCGCTCACGCTCGCAAATGCGATAAAGATAAAACAAGCGATACATAATGTATTTTGTCATTCAAACTTTAGAATTACAGCTACCTTTAGTTAGAAACTCAAAGTGTTTTGACCTGCTTACTTTAGGTCCTTCGCGCCAGACAGGTGAAGCCACACTACTTGAGAACAGCGGTCGTGTTACAAAGTTTAACGGATCCTCCCTGGCACCCTGTAAAATACAACAAGAAAGAAAGGAAATAACAACATAATTGGGACAATTGAATTTTGCTACAAATTACCAGGGTGATACAGGTCAATTTATGTACCCATAGTTTACTTCACTTGACGTCACGTGATATATTAACAAGTCGAGAGCTCATTTGAATAACGTTGGCTGGCAGACTAAAAAAGAAGCAAGCAAACAACAAACAAAAGAAAGAAAACGACCGAAAAACTAAAATATCACTTAAAACTGGGCTGAACGACTGCACTTCTATCTAGGGGCCTGGAACAAGCAACTGTTAGAATAAGTTACAAGAGGAAACATTTCGTGTACTCCTGTCTGATTATATTTACTCTCTTCGGACCAAACGCACAAAAATAGGAAAAGCACGGAGGAAACATGTGCGTTTTCGTGAGTTTTATTGGATTATAGGAACACTAACTACGCCGCAAACGGCAGTTAGACGTTACGTTTACCTTGTAAAACGATCCAGGAGGTGACAGGCAGTAAGTTGCCATAGTAAAATTGTTCCATGGCAAATTTTGCGCGGCGTCCACGGAGATCTGTAATTTACAAGAAAAACAAAGAGAGCCTTTTACGTGGAGACAGAAATAGACGCATCCTCACGGCAAAGGATGTACCTTCATCGTGTTTTATTCCACAAACAAAGGGAGGACTCCACTATGAGTATCAGTATTGTTTTGGAGCAAATTTCTCTTGCTGACTAGTGATAAATAATAATCAACCATTACACTGAGGTGTAAAGGGCACATAAAAAGCCAAAAAAGAAAAAAAAAAAGAAAGAAAAAACAACCCCACCTTTAATCCATGTGTCACGTGGTACAGTGCCACGTAACTAAGGTCCAGGTCTCCAGGTAGAGTATCGATGTTTCGAGTGAGACGAGTCTAAAAATAGGGAGGAACAATATAATAAAAGGAAGAAATATTCACAGGGACAAGCGAAACATACCGACGGTAAATGAAAAGAAAAACGGATGAGTTTTTGGTACGGCCATTTCTCGCGTGTCTACCAATCTCGTCACCTAATATCTTTTTAAAATTTGTTTAAGTGGGTCACTATCGAACAGGACGATCTCAAAGTTCAGTACCTGAAGAGGGGTATCGAGAAGCATCGTAACAGACTTAAACCATTTATGAAGTTGGCACTGAAACTGATGATGATGATGATGATGATGATGATGATGATGATGAATTCAATTTGTTTTCCCAAAGCATACTAAGTAAATGAATGAAGAAGGGTTACCTTGATCCAGCTTTCTATCAACCTGGCTTTCTTAAGCTTTTGTTCCTGTCCATCGCCGATAAATTTAATTGCGTCCCGAGTTCTAATGATATTTCTCTTAACCATACTGTGAAATATCTGGCTCTCTCCCAGCGTGGGTTCACAAGAAAGAGAGTAATATTCACCTACAAAAATAAGATAAAACGTAAAGTAACGCTAAAACGATCCAAGTAACATATATCATATTACCGAGTGCAATCTTCTAGTGAATGCATCCGCGTTGCATTCATTGATTTTGGCAATTGTTCCACAAAATGATAAAATCTAAGACTGAGTTGTCCAATTTATAAATAATAAAAATATATTACATTACCCTATTTCAACTAATTCACGAATAATCAATCGTATCGCGTAATCGGAATCATTCAAGGTAAATTCTTTACAATTTTAACGACCCATAGAAGCTCTATTTTTAAATCTTGTAAGGAATGAGCTGTTTTCAACTCAAAACTTAAGGTCATCCTTACCATCTGCGTAGCTCGGCTTGGGTTGAAATACTCCTTCTGATTCCCATTCTGATTCGTTGAATTCCGAAGCCTGTACGTGGGAGAGGGCGCAGTTGGTGAGTATTAAAACAGGTAGTCTTAACGATCAGGTTTCTACAGTTTAGACGCCTAAGCACAAGGGTCCAGGAAAAAAATGCAGTTGCAAACAAGTTTAAGTTCGGAAAAGACAAAAATTGTTTAATTAGGAACCCAAAACGCAATAAGTTGCACACAACACACACAGGACTTACACTGATCAAGCAAAGCTGAATCGTGCAGCGCGTCACCACAGGAGTGCATATGAATTATTTGAGACATAAAACGTGAGGAAGCGATGTTACTTAAGCACAGACTACGGTCACTCACCTCTTTGGGTCTTCCATTCGGGTGACATGCAGCCTGAACAATCCTTATGAGTAAACTTGCACATGGTACGAGACTTTAAGAGATAACACAAAGATCAATCGATCTTTCCATTATTTTATGCATACAAGCATTTGGTGCACGCGCAAATAGAGGACATTAGTCAGAGTGATTTAGCAACAGAACGGGAATGTCAGTTGAGGGCGGGAAAGCGCAGGGAAAGGACTGAACGAGACTTCCGGTCCTCAATTTGTCGCTTCGCGATCGGTTAAGGCGATGTTTCTTTTTTTCTTTACGCGCACCGTTGAAACTGCAGTCACGTTGTCTTTGCTAAATCTGCCTATCAACTTCCAGTCATTGGGCATCTATTTCTAGCTTGTTCCTAGCAGGCTTGTGGGATTAGGAGGTAGGGTGACCAAGTGGTCAGCGCGTGAGATTCACAAGAGGCCCTTTGCAGCTACCTGGGGACCACTTTCGTGTCAGTCTCCACCTAAATTGGTTTTTAGATAATTTTCGAATGCTCTCAATTTTTCTATTTTCTATATTTTTTTAATGACCTTTTTTTTTGCATAAACCGGGCACGTGCAGTGGTCATACTTACGAAAGGCTCTGAGTAAGGCTTTCGTGTAAAGGTTGAGTAAGATCCGGGCTACCACTGTATAAGCGTATTTGGTGAGCGCCCTCGTTAAGGGCAACCTACAAATGAAGACGCTTTCATTAAATCAAATTAACAATTAACAGTTATTGAATAATTTAGCAGATAAGGGGTGGTTCAGTACTGCGAATACTCTCCAAATAGCACATGCCGTCCGTCGAGTTGTCTTCTTGCTGTTCTTGCTATGCTTTTAGCCAACAGTTCGCCCATTTCTTCACGTGAAACGAGTGAAATGTTACGCCATTTTGTACTAACTGTCAAAACAACTCAACCTAGTCCTCAGGTCTTCTCGGTTAACTGTTCAATTTTCTGGCAATTGTACTTCACAGCTGACGCCATTTTTCACATATCACAAAATTCTTCCAAATTTGGTCGGCAGTAGCTGGTTATGATGAAATATGCGTGGGATTTGTCGATCAGAAACGGAGAAATATTTTGAATGAATAATACGGCTGAGTATTAGACAGATTTTATTTAACCCTTGAAATGGCTAATAGGTTAATGTGCAATTAAATTTCAGTGATTGTTTTGTTTACTTGTAACGATTTGGCAATAAATGGAAGATAGTGTTTCTCATGGGTTATGCAAAATCACTCTATGTAAATAATTTTGCAGATCAAGAAGGGCGTTATCCACAGAGGCCGCAGGTGGGAAACACCCTCCGAGTCAGTATCTTTGCGTATTCTTGCGATCAATTTTAGTGAGTAAATCGGCTTTTTCCGCTTCGAATTTATGTGAAATCTTTCGCCCTATTCTGAAGTCTTGCATCGCCATTCTGCTCTCTCGAGTGGCGTCAATCGTGTATAATTTTGCTATTATTTCATCACTGACGTCAATAGCTGACGTCAATAATGGAACAATGGGAAAAAAAATCCTTGCAAATTTGCACAGCCGTAGCTGGCTTTGAAGACTTGGCCTGACTTGTAAGTGATAATTGACCACTCCAGAAATACCATAACATACCACAATGCTTTCTGTCTGTCACCCCAAAATTTTGCATAAGCATTGTCTTCAGTTTCCCTTGGGGCCATTTTAACTCCCAAGAGAAACTGAAGACAATGCTTACGCAAAATTTTGGGGTGACAAACAAAGAACATTGTGGTATGTTATGGTATTTTCTGGAGTGGTCAATTCTTCTAAACAATACTACCCAAAAAGAAAGATGAAAATCAAGACCAACCTTCACTTCGGACTTGCTAACAGGTGGTTGAATAGTTGTTCCCACTTCAATAAAGATAGGAAGAAACCCATAACCAACACAGCACAGATTCTTGGAAACTTTATCAACGGCGTAAACCTTCAACATAAGGGTGCACGAAGGAGGGAAAACTGGATCTCGGTATTCTATTCTCGCGTTGTATTCTGGGTTATAGATGTCGGAGTCGAGTTCAGCTTGCACGTCTATGTCACTACCGATCCTGCAAATTAATTAAAACAAAATAATTGGCCATATTGGTGTCTCAAAACAATGAAACGGCGGCCGTGTTGGTATCCCAAACCAGTCCTGTGGTAGTTGAACTTATTTCTCGTGCAAACGCTTTCTTTTGTTCCAATAAATTTACATAGATGCTGGCCACGTGAGTGAAAACACTCTATGTGGAAAAGAGGCTGGAGTTGACTTTGTTTTGATACAACCCCTTCCTGCTTAATTATGTAAATCATGCTGCTCTTATGCAAACAGTATTTTCTTAAGCAAAATTTACATTTGAAAAAAAAAGAGGTTTGTATCAAAAGAAGGTCTTCATCGGCCTCCAATTACTCAAAGGCTAGGACACTAAGCCCCCAACTGTAAAATGGCCTATTTATTCATTCATTTCTTCATATCTATTAACAGTCGACGCTCCCTTAACGGCCATTTAAAGTGCGAAGATTCAGTGGTCGCTTATGAGAGGTGCCCGCTTACAGAAGAATTGAGCCACAGGGGGTCTTTTCCGAATATACCGTAAAATTCCGAAAATAAGCCCCTCCATGTATAAGCCCCCCAAATATAAGCCCCCCAAAGCGGTAATGCAAAAAAACCCTCCGTTAAATCGCCCCTCCAAATATAAGCCCCCCGGGGGCTTGTACTGGGAAAATTGCCCTCAAATACAAAGTAAAACAAAGCAAAAACGATAAATTTACTTCCAACTATAAGGCTAGCCCAATCGATTTTGAAACGCAAATTTCCCTCCTTAGATAAGCCCCTCCAAAAATAAGCCCCTGAGAAAGGGCCTTTGAAAAATGTAAGCCCCACGGCTTATTTTCGGAATTTTACGGTAGGTACTGACACATACTTTTTGAAGGAGAATTTACCGCATGCAATTTCAGATTTCCGATAGGTTTAGCTTCTAGTGCACATAGCGAACATAAAGATCACACCGTGCGTCAACTGATCGGAAAATTTCAAAACTGTTTCCCCCTAAAAGTGGTCGCCGTCGCTTAAAGGAGGTGGTCGCTTACGAGAGGTGGTCGCACGTGGAGGTTCGACTGAATTTATACATACCTCGTATAATTCTTGTCCAGTACTCTTCCAGCCACCTGTAAAAGAAAGACAATATAAAAAAGAACAATAAATTATAGTCGAAATTTTAGAACTTTCACGTAAAAGCTGTCGACATAGACCTATTCGGTTAAAATGTTGCACCCAATTCAGTCGATAAGATTCTTTGTGTATTGCATTTGCATTTTTCAGGCATTCACATTTAAAGAAATTTGAAACAAAACGTTTTAAAAGGGTTTGTGGGTACAACATAGACCTATTCCACTTGTTGCTTACCTTCGACACAGTTACACTGTCGGGAAGGAATCGAGCCCCGTCTATATACAGGTCAATCCCATTTCCTTCTTCAAACTCATCTGTCAGAATAGAAGGTCGGCCATTCTTAATCCAAACATTCTGGAAAGGAAACAGGAGAAAAAAGTCACAGGTCTCTCTAGCTTCAAAGCCATCCTGCTCTCTACTAAAAGCACAACTACCAATATATAGATGTTTCTAGCCAAACTATATACAATATACTGTACAACAGAAATGGTAAACCTCAGTGGAGGCGAGCGGGTAGTCAGTGCTTCATGTACACACTGTATGAAGCCGCCACTATATATTTTGCAGGCAATGGGCAAAACTGGCAGATTAGAATGCAGAGATAGGAGGGAGAAGGCGTAGGGCTCTACGCGCCCCACAAAAGAAGCTTTATTGCAGGCAGAACAATAAGAATAGGAACAGTAGCAAAAACGTAACAATAACCGCGGACATTTTTACCTCGGGAAGGTCATTTTCTTGCAGAAATTCCTCCGGTGAGCTTGGTCTGTCTGGAGGAAAATCGACGGACGTAAAAATACTTATTCGTAACGAAGCCTCTCCATATGGGGACCACTGCTCTGGAAAAGGGCCCTAGAAATAATAAAAAAAAAAAGACAGAAATAAATATGAACAAACAGCCAGACTACATGGGATAGGAAGCAATATTGTACTAGGTCATTTCCGAGCTCTTTTCTTGTGAAAAAAAGTTTTATGTTGCATAAGAGAAAAAAATCATTTTCATACCAATGGCTTCGCACTTAGTTTGAAACAGAGGCTTGGAAAAACTCGGAAATTAGAGGCCTATTCCACACAGAGTGCTTCGATAAATACCGCCAGGAAAAGAAATCAAAGGCGGCCGAAAAGAACATAGTCGTGAACTTTGGAGCGAGAGCCGAGAGAGATTGGATTTACGTCAAGCAAACCTAAGACGGTAACAAAAAATCGGGAGAGTTAAACGAGATTAGTTGCCGCCTTATACCTCACCAAGGGCGAAGAGAATTAAATTGAATATAGTAAAAATCTGCTTACCCGTAAGGGAATGTTAGGTACTTCTACAACGGGCGGAAAAAAGAGAGGAAGATTATGAGTTCCGACGTTAAGACGTGCTGAACCACCTCGGCTACCTAAAACAAACACATAACAATGTCAGAAATGCAGGGATGAAAGGGCTTCGGCACAAAGGCCTAAGTTCAAAAAGGTACTCACAATGTAGTTTTCAAGGTAAATGCCTTCTATTGAAGTAATCGCCGTTTGGATACATGATATTAAATCAAAAGAAATCTGCAAACTTTATCTGGAGCAAATGGAAATTAACGATTTCGTTGTCTCCACACAGTCTACATGATACATGTATGAACTGTACCTTGTTTGTTTAGGTTTCTTTTGTTTTCAGGGAACCATAAAAAAAAATCAAAAACAAAAACAAAACAAATATTAACTCAAATACCTCCAGATTGACGACTTTGTCTAGATACATGTGAGCCCGCGGTCAATGCCAGAGGTACAGCAGTCCACGCAGCCAGTTTACTTTCATCCACAATATTTCCCGTCTGTGCTGTGGAACTACCGGATGCTGATGAATCGCCTGGCTGTATGTACACCCGGAAAACCACGATGGAATTTGCATCCCACGGGACGTTCTTAAACTGTGCCTGAGAATAAGGACGGAGCAAGTTTACAGAAGATACCAGGAACAATTATTGGTTATGAGAAGTGTTCGGCTAGATAAATTTCGCTAAGAGACGTTTTCTTTCGGGGTACGGTGTTTCTCCGTAAGAGTCCAACCAACTAGCATTTAAGGCTGTCCATATTAAAGGGTTCTAACAAACTGCCGTGTGGTTAAAAACCGTCAATGCACAAACGCAGCCTCCTCCTCAGGCGCTTCGTTTTTCGCAAGGCAGAAGCGAGCGACTGGTGATGAACCGCAAGAGATCATGGAAAGGGTACACACGGCTTCCCGTCTTCCTTTGCGCGCGCATTTTCATTGAGAGAGAGACGTCTGGGTACGAGGCAATCGCAACCGTTTGAATGCGTTTACTTGTTGAAACTAGCCTATATCCATTGATTGACATCTTTGTTGTTCATGTTTTTTTTTTTGGGGGGGTTACTCAGATAATCTACTAATCCATCTTATTAAATTTTGTTTTGTTTTTGTTTGTTTGTTAGTTGTTTTTTAAAGAGAATTTTGCATTTTTTTGTTTCTCTTGGGCACAACTTATTCTTTCGCCGACAATCAATTACGAAGGTAAATATAAAAAAATCAAAACAGCAGAACTCAAAGCATGTTTCAAATGCTTTAATTTGACTATTGAAGCTTTTGCTTTGCTTTGTTGTTTCGTTGTTTTTAATTATCATTCTATCCGTAATTTATTGACCACAGAAAAAAAAGAATCCATCAATCACGGACGTCTCTTCGAAATTTTTACAGATCATCTACAGGTGCATGTTAGCATCTGCGAAATTTTAATTTGCACCACATTTTGGTTTTTCGTTTCTTTGGTGTAAACCTAGGCGAAAATGGAAGCAAAAAAAATGAAGGTGCAAGAGGAATTCAATTCTAAAATAATAATAATAATAAATAATATTAAAAAATAATGATTCCAGGGTATTTCCTAAAGATCAAATATAGAAGATTTAGCAAAAATAAAGGTTTGCTTAAATATAGTTTGTTCAGTTTGATCCACGTTCAATTGATTGAATGTTTATAAAAGTAAATTTGGCAAATTGTTTCTTTAATAGGCATAAGCTTATTGCTTATTTATGGTTGCCAGACAACAGAGGCGAAGTTATTAATTATATGACAAATCTGCTCTTCATTCCCACTTTAAATAAAAAAGAAGCGCAGTTTATAATAAATAATGACTGCACACTAATCAAAATAATGACATGCTTACCAAACACTAAGACCTTCAGAAAAAGGAAAAATCGATTTAATACAAAGGCCTTAATAGCAACTGAGCGAAAAGTATCGCAAGTCATGTTCCACGGTCAGATAATGAAAACCGCAGTTTATAGGTTATAGCGATGAAATTTTAAAGCTGACAAAGAGAATGAGAAGAAAAAAAAAGTATAGTCTCAATTGGCAATCTAGCGCAAAAGAAATACGCAACGAAAACAGTCACGTTTTGCAGTAAACATTACAGTCGATTTCGTTCTTCAAAGCACTCATTTTAAACGATGACAAAAAAAAAGAGAAAAAAAGAATATTTTATTTTGCAGCTTAGTGCCTAGTGGATTTTAATTGAAGGCAATTGTTGTTAGTTCCTTCCCAGCCAATAACACGCTAAAAGCTTTCGGATAATCAAGCGATAAGCTGCCTTACAGAACAACAACATCACCCTGAGGGATATCTTTCCAAAAATGGTTAGAAATTATCCTTGTCTCCATAATATAGATAATTTAAAAGGGCTACCGCAAAAAACCCTTGAGCCAATTAATTATTTAGGATGCGATTATGCGGTCTTTTGGATCCCCACGTTTGTCAGTGAAGAACGAATTGAAATATTCAGGAATCGTTAAATTAAAGCACCTTGCCTTTGTGGCGAGAGACTCTACTTTGCAAAAACAAAAACACTTTTAAAATATTAACGCCAATCGCACCAACTTTGCCAATTTGCGAACGATCTCGAACGCCACTCGACCATCCGTCACGGTTAAAAGATTAACAGAATCTGGCGCGACATACAGTTAGTTCGTTCAGCGAAGATTTCTTCATTACGACAGTGTTGATGTTTTGGTCTCTGGCAAAACACCGCTTAATTTGATTTACGCTCATAGACAAAGACACGAAAACCTCTCGCTTTTTATATCGAAGCGAAAAAAAAAAAAACAACAACATTTCAAAGGAATATTCGTTTTAAACAGTAAATAAATCGCTGGTCTTACTCCTGGTGGCATGGAAACACTTCGTGAGTCCGATGAAGATATGGATTCCGAGAACGAAATTTTGCCTTATACGTACGAAGGCGGACGGAATGAAAATGGCGTAAGACACGGGAAGGGAAAGGCAAGGCTCCCTAACGGCGATGTATACGAGGGTGAATACAAGAACGGACATCGCAGTGGTTATGGCAAATACGTGTTTAAGAAACTGAAAGGAAAAACGCGAAATGCGTGTTACCTGGGTCATTATGAAAACAACAAGAAAAACGGACAAGGTACGTTTCTGTACCCGGACGGCGCGAAGTACGAGGGAAGCTGGAAAGACGACTTAAGACACGGTTACGGAGCGTATTTCTATACAAACGGGGATTTGTATCGGGGCGAATGGGAACACGATAGACGGCACGGACAAGGAACGTACACATATGCAGCGAGCGGCATGACATATGAAGGCCAATGGTATGAGGGGAAAAGATCAGGTAGGGGAAACAGACAATTAAAACAGTACGACTAGGAAAATAAATTCAGTAACATTCAGAAACCTTTATTTGGCTGTAGAGGATGAGAGCATTTACTTCATAAATCAAACCTTAAACCCACTTGACTTGAATACGGATAAATCAAGCGACAGAACAACTCTTTGATGCTCACGCAGCCAAAACAAATTGCGACGTACAATATGCAGGTTAACAAACACGAAGAGCCTCAAAATGCCAAACGTCTAAAGCGCTCACACAGTTTTGCATACGGTAATTCGTAATATCGGAACCTTACATCAAACCCGACGTAATTTGCACAATGTAGCCCGCAGTCTGATCACCGAAATGTATACCTATGCATAAATATGAGCGACGCTTGGGAAGACTCAGAAAGAATTGTTTCAGCAAAATTATTTCTTCGGGGAATGCAAAAAAAAAAAGAAAGGAAAAGGAAAGAAAAACCTTCAATAAATGGTCTTAATTACGCCAGGGTGGACACTGTCATAAGGTAAATCGCATAATGTTCACAAATCTTGGAACAGAACGAGAAGCAGGTTGCTATGAGAAGTAATAATTTCATAAAATATTTAAAAAAAACGAAATCGCACTGCATTAATAACTAAAAAGCAACACAAGCGCAAGACAAAGAAATCAGATTCACATTTCTGCACGGTTTAAGTTTATGCAAATATTAAAAAATTACTTCTTCCATATGGTCAGTCAAACTGTCAATAATAGCAATTTAACCTTCACTTTCGTGAAACATGACAACTTAAACTCATGAAGGGTAAACAATAAGAAATGTATTCTAAAGTCTCACTGGTAAATCTCAGAAACTCGCCAAAACAGCAAAAAATAATAATATTATAATAAAAAATACGTCACTAAAAATATTTTTGTAAACTGATCATTCTAATTTAGAATGAAAGAATTACAAACGGAAAAAAAAGACTAAAAATAAAATGCAAATAACATGCAATAAAAACTGAGAAATAAAGCGTATGACTGAATTTGACAAGTCGTTCAGTCTCATTATTTCTATGCGCCAAAAAAACGTCTATGGATATCGCAGCTTCCCATCGATTTTACTGGTTTTGTCTGACGCCAAATTGTCCACTTTTTACACATTTTTGTTTGTTCTCCTTGGAAATAACCTTGGACGAATTAAATCACAAAATTATAAGTACTTGAACTAAGGCCGAGGAATTAACAGCGGTGTTTCAAGGCTCTTTAAATTTGGGCTTATGCTCACCCAAAGTACTTTTTAACGCAAAAAAAAAAAATCCATTTGCAAGATGGTGTCATTTTACTATTACGACCATAATTCTTGTCGTTTTTCCTTCACATTTAAATTTGGTAATCCCCGCGAGGTTTAAACAACAAAAGCTCTAGTTTGTACAAGAAAGCAAAAACTTGAAGAATTCTGGTCGTAGTAGTAAAATGACGCCATCATGCGAATGGCCTAACAACAACAAACAAAAGTTAAGAACGCGTCAGAGCACAGATAGATCATAGGTTCAAATGGATGCAAAACAAACAAAGAACTCAAACGGAAGACCAAATTTGAACAGTTTCTTTATGTTTGCAGGAAGAGGCAAGCTTACTTTCGGGAAACAGAGCTATATTGGAAATTTCCACGACGACAAAATGATCGGGCCGGGTACATATATTTTTCCCAACGGAACGCAACAACATGGCGAGTATATTGTGGTTGAAGAAGAATTGGAAGAACCTCTGGAAACGTTCAAGGGAAAAGACGGCGAGACAGAGCACAGAAGCAGAACAAAGCAAGTAAAGATTAAATGGATAAGTCGTAATGCAGACGTACCACCAGTTACAGTTGTGAAGAAAGAGACCATAATTAACTGACCTGTACCAAGTGCACAGGGAACCCTGTTGTTATGTCGCGATGATGGATACGTAAAGGCCTTTTTTTCAACATTATTATTACTATTATTATTATTATTATTATTATTATTATTTATTTATTTTATCAAAAAGACTTTAACAGCGCATTTTTCTACCACCATCTATGGTCATTTTCGAAAACAATTATCATAATTATAGGAAAAACGTTTAACTTGAATGAATCATCGTCCACTCGGAAAAACAAATGCATCACTGCCATTTCCAACAATTCACATGCACAAGCTGTTAGGGCGATGTTATATTTTAAAGTCATAGTATAACCCTTAAAAACAACCAGTGGGCAATCTCTGTGCAGCAATTCAAGCCGTGATTGGGTGTTTTAAATTAAACCGCGTTTCGCATCAAGACAAAACGTGTAGATCAGATTAATATTGAAAGTTTTGGGTTTTGAAGAATAAAAACATTTTGTAAAATTGTATTTTTGCCGAAAGTTTGTTTGAATGGCAAATAATTGAGGGTAAGAAAGATTTTCAACAAAAAGTATTTGTTCGATGGCTGGGTTTCAGAAAACTCCTATTATGATTGTTTTGCCATAGCGTCGATAGCAAAGTGTTATCCGAAGACTCCAATTCCTTCTGTAAAGGTTGGCGAGAATAACCAAAGAGCAAAAACAAACAAAGACAAGGAAAATGAACGCAGTAGTTCCGAAGAACCTCTCCCAATGCAAGGGAATCCCGATTCCAGAAATATCCCGACATTTTTTCCTTGTGGAATCTGGAAAACGGCTCAAGGAATCTTGAATCCCATTAACGATTGGAGTCCGGAATCCAAATTCCACTGACAAAAAATCCGGATGCCAGTACCTGGAATTCGAATCCACGGCGTGGAATCCAGAATCCGAGACTGCCTTGGATTCCCTTGCGTGACGTGACAGATCGATCTTCAATTTACATGACAATAAGGCAAAGAATGACCATAAAAGAGTTGCTCATTATGATTAGGTTGGTTGTTTCGTATGTTGAGGGGGGTTTTGAAAAGTTATCTTTCTATAAACAACCTTCCGGAAATATGCAGACGTAAGAACTACGGACTGTTAGTAAACTAATTTACCTCTTGTAGTCCGAAGGAGTATATACCCTCAAGGAAGTCTTGCTTAGCAGCTTTGGTGATACACATTACAGGTCTGTCGTTGTCCCCTTTGATTACCTGAGACACAACAATCGAAAAGGGTCAGGAAATTTGTCGGTAGTCTCACCCAAACAATTAAAACAAAAAACTGAGTAAAGCGAACGAATGGAAAAGATGGATGAAAACGAACGGATGAACGAACGACTGAAAACGAAAAACTGACTGGAGGGAATAGAATGTCTGACTGTGTATGGAGACTGACTCATTGACTGTCTGTTACTGACGGATGAATACGAATGGAGGATAGAAAAAAAAAAGGAATAGGAAAAAAAAAGGAAACAGGAAGACGGATCTATCTGACCTGTTCACTAACTGCATGACTGAAAGACTGACTGACTCATCGACTGTCTGACAGACTGACTGACTAACCCATTGTCTGTCTGACTCATTGACTGTCTGCCGACTGACTGACTGACTAACTCATTGACTGGCTGACTGACTGACTGACTGACTGAGTCATTGATTGGCTGGCTCATCGACTGTCTGGCTGACTGACTTTTTAACTGACCGACTGACTGATTGTCAGAAACATTTAGTAACTTGCTTTATAATGGATTAATAGATTTGTTAACTGATTAATAAAAATAAGCATTTCCACTTACCTGACCCTGATCATGTTCATAGACAGTAATTTTTATCCTCGACTCTCCTCGGATCGCATTTACTAGTTTATCCACTTGAAAGCCAACAACTGAATCCTCAATCGGTGTCTTTGGAGCACTAAAGCATTTAAACATATAAAAATAATAATTATTTTTTTCTCTTAAACTGTATAAAAAAATTCTGACGATCCATTATCTCTGGATTAGAAGCTTATATGTATGGGTTCAATTTGAAATTTATTTGCACTTGTGTGTTTTTCAAAGTATCAAAATTGCAAGAGCTTTTTATTTAGTTTAATAGCTTTGCCAGTCCTTGGAGTGGTAACCGTAGCAACGAGTAAACCAAGTGCTGCGGGCCCGTAACAGTCCCTTAACCCCATCAAAGATAGACCATACCCCCACAGGGGTTTACGTCCCTAATCTGTTCGAGAAACGCCTTGGACGAGGCAGAGTCAACGGTTTAACATCGCTGCCAAATACAACACGATCATCTTAACAGAGACAAGATTTTAAATCACAGCTAGCTTGATCTTGGTCTGTGGTCCGGACGGGGTTCCGAACTCTCAACCTACCGCCCAGCAAACTAGCGTTCTTCCTAAGGAGCTAACCATACTATCTATGCAATATTTATCTTTAGAGATGTGCATGAAAATATCTTACACAAGGACAGTCTTTGTAAAATAATTAAGACGGAATCCATCAGGAAATTGAGTAATTTTAATTTTCAGTGGACAAAAATCTTGTACCAGAATAATTTAAAGAATATTGCATTCTTTTTTTACATCATTCAAGGACTAAAGATGTAATAAAATAATCATCTGTAGTAACGCCAAAGAAAATTTCTCATAAAAGTCAGAGAAAATAAATGTCAAATTTCACAAGAATTGTGATGTAAAATTCTAAACATTTCACGTGTAAGATGTAATTTTGTGAAATTTGACGTTCATTTTCTCGGGCTTCCATAAGAATTCTTTTGGTGTTACTATAGATGATTTATTACATCTTTAGCCCTTGAAAAATGTAAGAAAGAATGCAATATTCTTTAAATTTTTCTGGTACAAGATTTTTGTCCCCTGAAAATCGAAAATAACTTAATTTCCTGATGGATTCCATCTTAAGCTCAAAATGTGCCGGAAATACTGGGCCCTGTGATTTGTCCCCACTCTGTGTCGTAACGTAATCTAACTGCGGCGAATAACGTCTGCAAAGCAGCGCCGTGAGCCCTTCTCTGGGTCCCCGACAGAGTCAACGTATTACCTAAAGTACGTCTCGAATTTCCCTTTAAACCTGATTGGAAAATTGACAATGGCTTCTTTAATAAACCAATAATGGGGCCCACTCAAATCCTGGTACACAGGTGACGGTCAAGAACAAGGATTTCGGCTCAGTCTCGCAGACGGAAATCCAATCGGTGGCGCTGGCTACCAAGTCTCTGGAGGATATGCACTTGCCACTCACCTCTCAACCCGTTGAATAGCAGACACAGGGGTGTCGGGTGGAGGAGGCACTGACGGGGGTGGCGCAGGAGTAAAATCGACCTGTTGTGGAGAAGAGTGACGTATATGTGGTACCACGCGGATGTTTTCCTGAAATAGATTTTCAAAGAACGTCAACTCCCTTTATAGGGGACAATGCAGGGAACTTGAGTTAGTGTCCGCATTAGCTAGAGTCCGTAATAGCGAGAGTTTATTTCAGTCAAACGTCTGCAATTTATTTTTGCCTGGGTTTTAGCTGCTGTCCGTTATAGCGGGGTGTCGGCAAGGCAACAGTTGGCTGTCTTTGTCAACGTTAGAGAAGTGCGATGGACGAAAAAGATCAAAATGTTTCGGGTGACTTTGCAAATAGAAAACAAAATGCTAAGAAAGCTGTTTCGCATTCTAACGCATTGTAACTAATTGTACTGCTACTCCTTCCCCCGACCACCCGACCCTCGAGGAAGAGACGAAAAAACTGCGTCTTCTCTTTAAGGTGTTCTTGACGACACACAGCATACTTCTTTACCAATTTGGCCTGACCTTTACAACGCGAATGGCCACTCACCAAGGCTGGATATTTGTACATGTAATGTTGTATGGGTTGTGCGTTTAGGGCATCCTGTGACGTGACGTCACGGCTATTCACAAGTCTGATATACAGCTCCGCTTGTCCAATCTGTGCATCGATCAAACAGTTACAAAAAATATAAATATAAATAAATAATAATAATAATAATAATAATAATAATATAATAGTAACAAACAAGCGATAAAAGTAACACTGGCTCAACAGTACTATAATCTATACTACGCTATTTTACCTGTCAAGTTATCTAACATGAATGTACTGATGTTCCACTTGGCCACTTCGCAGTTTTTTATACCAATATTTGCGAAATTTTCGACTAAACGGTCATTACTATCGGTTCGAATTAACTGAGCCCAAATATAAAACAAAGGAACTGACGCCTTATGAGCTCTGTTTAATTTTCTGTCAGATTGATTTTTTTCCCCAAAAGAAAATATAGTGCCTCTTGCAGAACACGGTACTACACGCAAGAGAGATGAGTAAATCTCCACAATGATACAAGACGCAAGTGTAATCAAGTAACCTGCATGGAAACAATTCATTTGGGAGACAGCGTTGAGTCTGGACTTAGAAAACTGTGTTTCTCTGAAACGTCCTGGCTGTGCCTCTAACTATACCTATTTTCAAACATCCTCCGCACCTCACGTGAGGTCACCGAGAGAGTGAGAGGGGCCATTCTCGTTAAAGTAAATCTTTCCTTTTGTTCAGAGAATTTGAGGCTGACTTAATTAACAAAGAAGACATAGGGGACGACTGGGGAAGTAAAACCTTATTAGCAATTGCCTTAAAAAGGGTAAACTTAAAAAAAGCTTAAGATTTTAGATCTCTTTTCTACAGCTAACAACGGTGATATTACCCGGAAACATGTTCAGTAACAAGAGGCAAACCTGTGGTATCTTATTCAATTCGTGAGTGCTCAAAAAGGCTTTGATTGGAGCTATCCGAATTGGAATTTTCCACCTAAAATAAGAAAAATAAAAAAAAGAATAAGATAATTAACCAATACAGTGGAATCATGATAAAAACAGAGTGCCAAGGAATTAGTTAAATAGCCAATACCGGGGTTCACGAGAAAAGGAAAAAAAAATAGAAAAAACCTAGAAGACAAATGACATAAGGGAAAGATTTTCACTAGGAAAGGTCAGTGAGGAATTTTGGTCTTAGCGCAAATCTTAACTGAGATATCCAAAAGTATTAATAGAAAAGAAAATAAAGGGAAAGAAAACAAATGACGTTATTCCCACTTAAAAGGAAAAGAAAGTTTCTAGGCGATCGACATTTGATTACTCCATTCCGGCCACCACACATAATAAAAGTGATTTTACTTAAATTATACTTCTCTCCGCCTTGACATGGACACCCAGACTACACTTAATGTACGTTTAAGAAAAGAAAGGAAAGAAAGCGAGAGAGAAGAGAAAACTGAGGATTCATGGACACTGTTTTTACCTTCCACTCAGCAGCCGATTGCTGATATCAAACAGGTCGATTTTTGTCCATCCCTTAGAAAATAATTCAGTAGGGTCATTCGAGTCCTCGGCGCTGTTAGCTTGCAGCTCCACAACAAGACAGAGATCCTGATCGGGAAGACATCTGCAGAAATACAAATCACAGCCAGATTAATTAAATAAGAAAAAACACAGTTTTGCATGGGAACCCCTTTCCCTGACATTTCACTATGACTCTTTCTCTTCCAAGCAGATTCTTGTAAGGTGGTTCTAACTGTTGAGTCTGTGGATGAAATCCTATGGTATGATCATTTAAATGAAACCTCTTCAGTAGTACTTTCACGTGTGGTACTTCGGTAGTTTTAATTTAGTATGCAGCTTAGGCAGTGCTCTCACATGGTACCGTTTATTTATCAGCACTTCATCAAATGAAATTTGGAATTTTGACCAAAGCCACTACTCGGAGTGCCTATCCATAACACAGTCTTAACTTTAAATCTCTTAATTGCAAATTACTTTCGTTTGAAATACAAGCGCCTAAACCAACCTTGGAAATGGATGTTTGACTCCAACAACACCAACGCCGCCAGAAGGTATTGTGGGATGGCTTTCTTTGGTAATAGCTGTCGTTCTGACAAGCGGCAGCAATTTAACGTCTGTTGCAATCTCCACTCCTTTATAGACACCTGCGGCGAGTCTACAACTGGACAGTGAGGAGCTGAGTCCAAGGACAAAGTCCCAATATACTGCAAAGCCAGCACTGGAGACGAAAGAAATGGCAATTTTGTTTTTTGCTGTCGCCATTACTGTCCTTGTTGCCAAACACTAAGGTACAATGAAGGCAAAAAGGATAACCGCAAATTTAAGACGAACACCTCCCCTAAATTGTCAAACGATCGCGCCTAACTGCAGGGTGGACGGGACACGCAACACCTTCTGGTTGATTCGTCTGTAATTTTGTCTTTTTGCTTCACAGACGATGAAGCCCATTTTTAGATTAGGATTTTCCACAGGCAGCCCAATTATAAACATACTTTAGTTTAAAACTTAGTTGAAACTTCACTTGAAAGGCTATTCAAATATAAACGTGTTAATTAGCAATCATACCATTCGTAGTTACTGTTGTAGATATAAACCAGATTCGAGTATCAATTTATAATTGACCAAGACTCATGGCATTATAAAACTTACTTTGGATCGTATGGGCTTGGAAGCAAGTCCTTCTCTGTGGTCGCATTTGACATCATGAACGGTGACTCAAACGGCTAAAGCCAAAACAGGACTGATCAGTAAATCGAAAGAGAATCTCAATTTCGTCATTTTTACTTTGCCCACTTGAGACATTTAGTGTGAACAGTTTATTGAAGGTGAGTTAGTCGGTTATCTGATGCTAATCAGGTCATCGCATAATATTGTGATGCCATTAAGCAGTATATTCTAGCTAGGCTAGAAGCTGTACCCTGTTAGTTGGGAAAAAAAATCTTTGAAAAGCACTCTCTATTATTACTCCTTATCTTATGCAGAGGCACGAACCCCTCTCCCCCCCTCCCCCGAAGGGGAAGGGTTTAGCACATACAGAGAGAGGAAAGCATTAGTACTGGGTAGAATTTCAGGGCTTTTTCCTGTTTTGCTTGCATTATTTGTCTGCTTGAATTCAAAGGTGGCATGTTTGTTATGTATAGTGACTTGTTTCCAATTCATGAGTTGTTTACTTACGTTTAAGTAAAGTGCCTTTAAATGCTGGTGGACATGGATGACGACGATTGGGCGGAAACTATCTGATATAAAAGGGACTTTAAGCCCACTCGTGAATTTTCCCACAGACCAAATATCGCCTATCCGTTCAAAGGTCTACAAACAAAAAATAAAAAACATTTACTCCACCTTTCGTGTTTCGTCCAGTGGCAGTTTTTCACCTCTGAGCTCCTTTAGTTCTCTTCTCATTTTCTCCACTTCAGCCTGTTGCCTTAATAATTCTGCTTCCTGTCTCAGGGACGCCATTTTTACCAAGTGCTCCTCTTTTATTCGTTTAAACTCAGGATCCAGGTCTTAAGGACACAATGGAAAGAAGAAACACATGTGTACAGCAAGTTTGTTTCCACAAAATCATAAACAAATATTTCGCGCATTTTAAAAGGCTAAGTTATGAAGAACGACAAGCGCGCGATTCATAAGACTTAAAATAAAGTAACATATAAACTTTTTGAGTTAAAGACATTTTATGGGTCCCAAAGATTGCTCTAAATTACCATCAACCACTAGATTGTTTGCAAACTTGACTTGGCACTTAGTTTCCTTTTCTCAATCAAGACAATGATAAACTCCTAAACTTTAAGTACAGCGACAGGTACCTGGAGATCGCATTCTGTCTTTTTGGTTCCTCTCTTCCTACACAAGAACAAACAAAAGAAATTAAGCGATTTCATTTTAAGGCTGTAAACTGTGGACTTGTTTATAGACTACAGGTTTTCAGAAGATCGTTATTGCATAGAATGGTACTATGTTAAACAAATTTTCTAAATTGTAGAGGGAAATATGAAAATATGATCAGAGGAATGGTTAGTTGGGTCCACAAGGTTGAAATTTTTGGTTCGTCTAATCTAAATTTGGCCAAAACCAAACGCAGAGGGAGTGATTTGAACGGGATATTTTTGTCGGCCATTCATCCATTTACTTGAGTAATTTCAGCTGCGTTTTGCCGTTTTCTATTGCGTTTATTATCATGCAATGACGGTCGTCTGATGGCGTTCCCCAGTCGCAAACTTAAGCACGACACGACCCAATTCTATGACTGTGAAGCCAAACAGCACTAGCTTAAGTTAGTTGTGCTGACCGAAAACTTACAACGAAGACATTTTGACACAACTCAATGACGAGCAGAATATGAATACAAGGAATTAATTGGCTCGATAACAGCATTATAGTTGCGGCAGAGTATCAAAGAAGAAGTTTAACAGACAGCGCTGTTAGTAATATCTTTACCCTCAGCATCTGTAGCTCTTGTTCTAATCTTTGGTTTGCCATGTGAAAACTCATTATCTGCTGTTGCAGAAGAGGGTCTGTTGCTAAATGAAACAAAGTACATGTATAAGAGAAGCAAGAGACTTCAGTTGCTAGCAGTAACAAAGTCAGGGCTCGAAATTATGCATGTAGCGGCGGAAAGGGGAACACGCAGATTCGAAAAGAGTTTCCTTATAATACGACAGACTACATAAGCTCAGCAAGCAATGATGAAGGAAACCAACGGGGTACTTTTAACAGGTGTTTCCTTTGTAAATGCTTAAAGCCAAAGAATGCTTTTCTGTTTCAATGACTTCACTATTCGTGCAGTTAACATTATCATTATATCATTATTAACGCTTTTAAGAAAGCAAAGCGACAGCAGAAATTAGTATTTCTGGCAGTTTCAATTAACAAGGGCGTAGGGTAGTTGATTTTGATGCTGTACGTAAGGGGATTGAAACTTTATCTGCGTCTAGTTGAAGAAAAACCCTAAGAGAAAACTCTGCACTCCTGGTACAGGGTTGAACGCGGAGCTGACAATAGAATATATTCGCCCTAACCCATAGAAGTTAATGGATTGTGTAGAATACAAGCGGCTCAATTCCTTTACAATGAGGGACGAAAGGTAATGATGACACAAGTCAGGGTCCGAAATTGCGCCTTCCTTGTCGCCAATGCGACTAAAAATTTAGTTCTGGCGACCAGAATTTCATAGCTGGTTGCCAGCTAGCGACTTGTAAAGCTGGTTGTTATTGTGGACTTTCACATTTGGAGAAACTGATTAAGAATTGAAACATTGAAGCTATTTGCCAACAGGTGTCTTACTTTTTGTCCTGCTGATATTTTTAAATTAAAAGTGAAACAAATCTTCCTGTAATAATACCTCCACAACAGCTACGATCAATACAAGTTGAACGTTTCCAAGCCGCCATGTTGTTTTCAGCTGTAATACGGTAAGTACGTTATGTACTTTGTGGATGTGGCACAGTTGTGGCCCGGTACGAGCAACATGGCGGCTTGACTCGTGTTTATGTTACGTGTTTCGTGGTAGTTATCAGAAGAAAATAGAGTTTTGATGATCAGTGCAGTCATGAGCAGACAGCTTTCTGTTCCTACGTCCTAAGTCAGATAGCTTATATCTCCAAAAAGCGATTTGTCGAAAAAATAAGGCGTCACTCGTACACTTACGGTTGCTTTCTGGTATCGGGAGCGGGAAGTAGTGCAATTTTCTGAGCATAAAAACGTCCATACCATACATTTTTTATTCGTGTTTAAACTTTTATTTGAAAAAAGGGAGGGGAATTTATGGCGACGACAATTTGCCTTCTGGCGACCAAAAATTTGTACTTAATCGCCAGTTGGCGCCCGTATTAAAAACTTAATTTCGGACCCTGCAAGTGTATACAGTTTGCATGTAATAAAAATCACAAACACCGTTGTCGGTTAGACTGTGTTCCTTACCGGGTGGTGGAGCTGGCCTTTGAACTGCTTGCATTCTTTGAGCCTCAAATTCCAAATCTCTTATTTGCGCCAGTATAGCAGGATCGTGGCCTCCTTTTTGAAAGTAGTCATTCTTTAACATACTGCAAAGAAGATACACTGTAAATGGTGCTAACCGTAAAATTTATTCGTAAGGTAGGGCAAAGTATATCATTCAGTCATAGGGTTTGAGAGACAACAACAAAAGTCTAAACAGACAGGGAGAGACAGTTGACGATAAGGAGTTTACGATACCACAGTACAACAGCGTCAGCGGCAAAAACGTCACTACAAGTGACTTGGCGTCCTTTGATTTACTTCGCTCACTTATTCAAATTTAGGCGAACTCTCCTCGAGTTAAATTCCTAGTCCAAAAAAGGAAGAGAAATTCGTCTTCATTTAATTTGTTTACGTTTTCCACGGAAATTTTAGGTGGAAGTCATGTATCAAAAAGTGTGCTGCACGTGCAAACTTGTTGTTTTGCCATTTTAAGGTGATTTTTCACGGGACGATTCGCAACGACTATTTTTTGCGCAACACAGCATCAAATTAAAAAGGACGTGCATTTACTAGTCATTCAAGGGGAGAAAAATATGAGAAAGTGACCAAATATAATTATACACTGAAAACTTACTTGAGTTCGTGTAAAACACTGCTCTGTTCAAGCTGGATCGGTGCAGCATCGTAATATCGCACCGGGGACTGGTAATATGGGATAACTTGACCTGCAATTCACAAAATCAAATAAAGTCAGTCCAATGATTATTTTACCAAGGAATTAAACAGCTTTACCCTGACATAAGTCTCGTTTAAGATAATTGCCAACAAGTTAACAAACGAGACGCTAACTCGACGGCAGCTTCATAATGCGGCGCAATGTATAGCAAAATTTCTCAAATTCTGTCTAACCTTTTTTTGGCCATATTAGGGTGTATACGTAAGTAATACCCATATTTGGGCAGTGACGTCACGGTCTTGCATTTATTTACTCCTTGTGTTTCGAGGCCAGGTGAGCCAATGTGTAACTGTTGGTTGTGAATTGGTTGTGGAGTGTGGATTACCTTTGTTGAGTTGTTGCGCAGGACCAAACAGGTGAGTAGGATTACGATTTCTTGTTTGAAACGGCTATTTCTGCCCTGTTTTGCAGCAGCTTATCAAGGAATAGGGTTCAACGCGCAAATTTTTGTCAGAACAAGCGTGTTTTTTGCAGCTTGATTTACGTTGCGCCAATCGGTAATGTTACACGAGACGATTCGCAGCGAAGATGTTTAGTGCAACACGCAGCGTGTTTCGAATAATAACAACATTGTCCAACATACTGCAACGCAGTGCTGCGCTAAAAATCTTCGTTGCAAATCGTCCCGTGTAACATAACCTTTGTGCCTTTCGAGAGATTCTTGTCAGAACCAGCGTGTTCTTGGCAGCCTTATTTACATTAAGCCAGCCCTCAACTCCCGTGAACAATGCAACAATTATGTCGACCCTTTAGTTTAAAGACTATCTTTATGCCTTTCGAAAAACTTTTTATCCTGTTACACTCGCTCATTAACGTTTTGATACAATGGAGTTTCATAAGAGCTAACTTGCTCCAATTTACCAACAAAGCGTCAAGCCATGTTTTTGTTTAATACAAGTGAACACCTACAAATTGTGCCCACATGCAAGTTGTTGTTTCAAACTTGGGTCACGTTTATTAGCCACCTTGTCCACAGCGAAATCAATTTTAAACCTGTAAAGCTTGTAAAAAATAAAAACAACGACAACAACAACAAAAAAAAAACAAATGGGCACATTCCACAAGAGTTAAACAAATTTTTATTGTTTGCACTAGCCGGAAAGGAACCCCTAGTATAGAGTAATATATAGATTTAACCAGGGCTCAAAGCGAATCTCTCGATAATTAATATTTATAGTTTGCTCAAACAAAATAAAAAATCGTGTAATGCTAGGCGGCAAAAGCAACGAGAAAGGTAAAAAAACAACAAGGGGTCTAATTAGCGAAAAAGCAACTCCGCATGTGCAGCACACTTTTTGTACATTTCTGTGACGTTGTTTTGCACGACTACGACATGAAACTTCCAGAAAAACTTCCTAGTGTATTCTTGCTCAGTTTGTTTGTTTGTTTGTTTGTTTGTTTTTCACTGCCGCTCATTTTCGCCTCGGTGGCCGCTAGCATTTCTCATTTTCTCACCGCCGCTACAAAATTTTCATGCCGTTCTTCCACTAAAAAAAAAAATGTCCCCTTTGTTTTTTCTCTCTCGTTCGAGCTCTCTGTGGCCCTTTTTCTCGCTGAGCTTCGCTGGCTTGCCGCCTACTTTCTCTTTTTCTCTGTCTTTCTCTTTCTCTGTATTCCAAAAATTCTGGCCAAGATCTTCACGGTTCTCCGCACTGAAAAATCTTCGAGGATCCTTGTTCGTAAGTCTTTGCGTGCATTTTGAAGATCTTTGCTGGAATTTTCATGAAGATCCAAATTGTAAAATCCTCAAAGATCCTGGAAAGATCATTAAAGATCCTAACAGATTATATCCAAGCAAATTTTTGAACGGACGAATTTGCAATGGACCCGTGTAAACGGGGTCTTAGACAAATACGACCAACGTTATGAAAAACTTCAAATGTCACGCGTGAGGCAAACTACGAATAGCTTACGAATTGCATACCTCTTCCGTATCTCTCTGATTCTGGTCTCGAAAACTGTCTGTAAGAAAGACAAAACAAAACAAACAGAGTCAATTAGGAAGTTGCATACTCATAAATATTTTGAAACATCTTAACTAGGAAACAACTTGGCATTCTGGGCGGGGTTGTTCAAACCTGGGGGTTAGTGCGCAGTTTGAACTCAGATATGAAAGCGTAAAAAGCCTATATAGAATAGAGAAAAATTGTCAGAGAGAATGCTTTTGAGCAAAAGAAAACGAAACTCGCGTGCAATTTAACCCCGGGTTAGCGCTTATCGACCTTCGAACAACAGGGCCCTAATCAGGGTGCAAAGAAAGTCATTTTTACAGCTTGCCATTCGGGCAAGCTGAAGCAAACATTTACTAGCCCAAACATCATTTCAACTAGCCGCCCACAACATTTTGATGAGCAGATTGATTTCACGGTTCTTCTGTAATTTGAATTCCTCAAAAAACTTCACTTGCCCATCGGGCAAGTTATGAACAGAATTCACTAGCCCGATAGCAAAATCCACTAACCCCGTTCTATCGGACACTACTTTCTTTGCACGCTGCTAATGTTAGGGGAGTCACTGTAGATGGATTTTTAAACTAAATGTATGCAGTTCTAAGTTGCACCTGGGCTTTCGTGGTTCAGGACTCTTTGAGGCCGCAGAAGCTGCACTATGAGGAGGAGATTTTGCCGTTACTTTTAGCAAGTTTACTTTCGACTGCTGTGCATTGAACTTCCTCCTAAAAATAAAACAATATTCAAAAACTCATTAATGATACATAAAAAGAAAAGAAATCAATGTTTAATGAGTGTCTTTATATCTGATAAAGACACGGCTAAACTTTACGTCTATTTTTTAGATCCTCAAATCTAAACTTTAGAGCAAGAATGAGTTGATCCATGTCAGAGATTTTGAAGCCGTTCAAAAAACTCGCAGTCGTGTATTATGAGGTGTAAAAACTCTCGGCTTCGCCTTTTAATACACTCCTGCTCGTTTTTGTACACATAATAAATAAATTAGTCAATTGATTAATGTCAGCCAAGTTAATTATAGCAAACTAGCACCTAGTTCTAAAATCCCCATTAGCCTTTACTGACATGGCCTCACTACATGTAAACATGTAGTGGTAGGAGATTTGCCCAGAAAGTCATGACAATGAATCACAAAATGAGTCATCCCTGATTTTAACCCCACAACGCAGGCCAAGTTTTCCTTAGACAAATTCCTTACTTTTCTTCCTCTTCTTTGAAGTCCAAGTATCTCTTGAGACCATCAAGTTCCACAGCTTGTTTGTCCTACAAAACATAAAAATAATAGTCCAGTGAGAAAGAGAGTTTTATCACGGATCACCGCTTCTTGAACTTCACACCCGGACTCTACATTACTTTGTCATTCTTAAAATTTCAGTTTTCTAACCATGCATCTTCCTCTTCCCCTCCCACTCCACCCAGCTATTCCTGTCCAATGTAAGATAAAAAAATGGTAGACATATTTTTTCAATAACCATCACAAGGCTGGCTTTCTTAAGGGCATTTATCGTTGGAGTAAAAATTGGCCGCCCAGACCTGTCTGAAGATAGTCATAAATTAATAGCCTGTGCAGCAAGCGTTTCCGCGCGAGTTCATCAAGAAAGTTGGGACGAGAGCAAAAAAAGAGGCTAATAAATTAAGAGAGCTTTTACTTATACAGTCAACTCCCTTTATAGCGGACACTGTAGGAACCTTGAGTTAGTATCCTCATTATTCTGTAACAGCGGGAGTTTATTTCAGTTGAACATATGCAATTTATTTTTGCCAGGGATTTAGCTACTGTCCACATCCAGGGTGTTCATTATAGCGGGGTGTCCGCAAGGCAAGAGTTGTCGTATTTAATCATGACTATTTATCTAGCACAGTAGTTCATGTACCTACTTGTGTGCATGGCAACAATGGGTACTTTCCAAGAAACTGAAGGAAAGCCTATTTCTATTCATTTCAAAATGAACAGTTGTCCACCTGGTCCCAGTTAACCCAAGCCCCAATATCCACAAGCAAATTCTCCAAACTGATCTCTATACATTTCTTTAAAGAATGAGTTGAGAGAAAGAATTTGAGAAAAGGTCAAAGCATTTTCTCGTTGGTGATCAATTAATTAATTCTCATAACCTAATCTCTTGACATTGTATGGATATCGTTAGGAGAAAATTGATGTTGGTCACTACTGGGACTTAAAGAGTTTTAACCCTTTAAGTCCCAACAATCAAAACTGTTCAACTGCGCAACTGGTTTCCCTGGTATTTATCCACTGGATAGTGATTTTTTTTTTCTCCGATGGATAGCACTAGATCCAGCTTTTTAACAACTGGGGCCAGGCCAGTTTTAATTTTTAACATGATAACACATACACCAGCAAAATACACTGTAACAATCACTAACTTACCAGAAAACCCTGAGAAGGGATTCTTTGCTGACTCTTTAGTCCTAAGCTATTCATCCTTTCAGCTAACTCTAAAAAACACCAGAAGTAAACACACAAAGAAACCAAGAAAGGAACCTTTTTAGTCAAATAATTAGTAATTATAATAAGAGCAAATTATACAAAAATAATTATGTGACTATGTAATTTAAAGAAAAATGTTTTACCATGTACAATAATGTAACTAGTATATAGTACCACAATGTAGTTTGGTCGTTAAAAAATGCAATAATAATATTTGTATTTTAGTAACTTCTTTAACTTAATATTTACTATAATTAATACATTTCCATACTTGCTTTTTCCTCCTGGAGTTTCTCATTTCTTTGCTTAAGTTCTGCAAGCTGTTGTCGATGAATCTCTGTCAGTTGCAAAATTCTGTCATCACCTCTGTTGCCTTCATTGAATCTTCTTGGTGACTGAAAATTAATGTAAAATATTATATGATTACTTTCTCTAAAATACCATCAATATATCTTATCCACCTTACATGTCTCAGTCTGTTTATCATTTATGCTGCTGAGCAGTACTTTGCATTTCTTTGCAACTCTTGTTGAGGTTGATAAATATTGCTTTTTTGTTTACACACAGACACATTCAGAGAAAATGAGTTCTTAAGAACTCAGAAGTGAAAGAAATTTAGAATTACATTTTCATCCTTTTTATTGTTATTTGTATTTTTCCCATTAGATAAATTATCATTTATATATAACCTTATTCAACTTACATGCCTCTGTTCATCTTTCAAACTGTTGAGCAGAAGTTTCTCTTCAAAGTTCTTTGAGTTTCTCTGCAGCTGCTGATGCATCTTAAACATTTTAAGTTGTTCAATCTAAAGATACAGAGGGCAACATATGGCAAGGAGTATCACAATCAGTGAAACTTTTGATGTACAGTAATAATTCCTATACTCCCTTAGTTTCACAAGAAAAAAATTGTTTCTTGAACCAGAGGGCTGTAGGGGGGGTACGAACACTGCAAAACTGCACAGAAAAACGCATAAACAACACACAGTTGTGACAGAATGACATAAGAAAACTGCAAACCCCATTGAAATTACCAAAAAAATTTCAAAATACCACAAACCACTTGGTTTTGTAAAACGGCAATACCGCAGCTTAAAATAAACATTTCTGCAAAACTGCATCACCCCAAGCCCTTACGCACCCCCTCTTGAACCAGTTTATTATTGAAGAGCTCACTGCCGAAGAGTACTGGAAAAGTACCTGCGCAAGAACAACCATTGCAAAAGAGGCCGCATCAATGGGTGAAGATTATCAAATTTTTATAAAATTTTACAGAATCTTGAGCAGGGTTGTAAAAGGTATGCAAACTTCTGTTGTTGTTGTTATTTTGTTTGTTTGCTTTTCTTTAACTGGCTCAGTATTTTCTTTCCTTTATTATATTTTACTGGTGTGTATTTACATGTACTTATTTATCTTCTTGTTTTTGTTTTGTTTTGTTTTGTTTTTGCTCACTTCAACCCTTGACAACTGCTGACAATGTCCAAATTATTCATTTACACAAAAGTACTCAGTTTACACTCACATTGAGCAGAAATTATTTAAAGCAAAGATTTCAAAAGTTAAATAACAGTATACCTTTTCCTTTTCAAGAGCAGAGATGCTGCGGCCATCGCTAGGAGTGTTTGGTGCAGAACGGTGATAAGTCTGATGGTAACTTTTGTGTAATTGCTAGCAACAAATAATAATAAGGTGCAATAAAGAGAGAGAAAGAGAGAAATAAAATGGAAGACAAAAATGTAATCTGGAAACAAACACATTCAAACAAAGCTCTGGCTTAATTAGCACAGACATGTCATGTAATTCATGTAACATGTGACTCAACAATATCACCTTGTAGCTTCCACTTATTTATGGCTTACTCAGTTGTTTAGAAGAATATCAATAAGCAAGGCTGTCACTAAGATTTGAAGTTGCCGGGTAAATACAACAAGTAGGTGGGGAATCAAACAGCTAGGGGTTTCTTTTGGTTCTATTTTTCTTCTATTTTCCTATGAAAGCAGCCGGGGGCCACATTCTTAGTAGCCGGGGGAAATCCCCAGCCCCCGTCTCTTAATTGCAACCCTGAATAAGAATGCTTTTAATGTTCTGTATCATGTAATATTAATTTCATCATAGTGTCGGATAGTGTATGATTTACAAGTATTCATCCTACTTACGGTGTTCTGATTACCGTCTTGAAGTGCATGCAATGTCCTTGAAGGAGTATTGGGTGCAGACAAACTGGATTGGGTTCTGATATCTGGCAAAGGCTAAAATAGATAATATAATTGCAAATTTGATAACAGGTTATCAAGAGAAAGGCAGTGCTGCAGTAATTGCATTTAATATTCAATCAAAATATTTCCCTGATTCTCACTGGCTAAAAGCACACGCATAATTCACCATAACCAGCTATTGATGACTAAATTTGGAAGAATTTTGCATTTAATGAACCGATGACATCAAAAGTGCAGCTTTCTCGCAGGTTAATGCACCGTTAACCAAGAAGAAAATCAAATGGTGTGTAACTAGGTTAGGGTGGCTAAGGACGAAAAGTAAGCTACTCAATGTATTCTACTCGTTTTTAAACGTACCGTGCTTAAGGCTTGCCTATCTTTCCTTCCTTCCCAATCTTCACTCTTTTTTGAAATCCTCGAATGAATGCGAGCTGGATCTGCAGCACTCCCAACACAAAACTTCTTTTTATGGGTGTCATAGAGCTTTTGGTTCTCAAAAATAATGTTACACTCGTCGCATCGCCAAACCATTTTAAAGCTGCAGATCCTTGTCAAACTAGACTCGAGTGATCATTTGACAGACTGTAATGACAGTTCATGGTTGTCAAGTTCTTTGAAGCTTGCTGACGTCCTCTGGTCGTACGATGGAACACAACAGATCCTTCATGCCAAGCTATCATCAGTGTTCAAAGTGCATAAATCAAAACTTTACTCTACAGAAATAGAATTCTATCCCATTGCGCCGATTTTCATGGAGGAAAATGATAATTACATCTGGTAGTTTCCACAACATTGCAATCAATGTTTATCATGAGACCCTTGTTTTCTGACCAGCGGTTTCTATATATTAGAGTCCAGCTTTCTTCCGTTTATTTTTTCGCAAAATCCCTGCAATTCACATAATTCAACTTACGCAAGAGAAAAGAGTCATCTCACTGCAGAAATTGTGTGGGTTTTATGCTCTACAATTCAGCTCTATACATGGTAAGAACAGAGAGGAACACCATGCGGTCTCTGTTCTTTATTACGCTGACAACACAAGCAGTATTGATGTTCGCTAATCAGTACGATCCTCATGTTTTTCCAGCGGATGGCCCGTTCATGGAAGGATGGTATGCAAGAATAATAGATTTTGAATCAAACCACTCATTTGGCATTCTATTTGGACAAGTTATAAGACGAAAACAGGACGCCCACTTCAACAATTACCCGCTGAACATGGTTTCGATAATTCACAGCAAAGGGGATGAGAGCTCTATGGAAAGTTTCGACGTTTACCCTTCGAGCGAAAACGTGGAGGTGACAGTTCGCGGCAAGCCAGTTACGGAAGATCCCGATTTCAAATCTCCGGCGAACTTCGAATGGCGAGCGAAACCGTATGGATATTTCAGAGTTAACGAACACGAAACGAGGTTCAATTTTACAAACGTAAGCGGAGTAAGCTTCATTGGCGTTTTGGGACCACCAAGACCCTGGGGCCCAAACGGGGAGGGCCCAGAGGGGTGGATTGATCATGTACCTTTTCTTCCTTTGCACTGGTTTGTGTACAGTTTAGGCTCAGATCTTATAAACTACAACTGGATTAATGAGAACACTGGCGAAATGCTGCGAGGAAATAAAGGCCTTGTACACCAAGAAAAGAACTGGGGCAAAGGATTTCCGCCAGCTTGGATCTGGGGAGAGGGTGTTGATGGTCCTTCAGGGTCCTCATTTGCAATATCTCTTGGAGTCCTTGATATAGCCTCATTTGACATCCCAGCACATCTGATTGGGTACCGCAGCTCAAAAGTGACACTCAACTTCAGGCCAACAAACTCTTGGTTAACAAAGCATATCGACGGCTGCACTGGCATGATGAATGCAACTGTGGAAGGCTTTGAGCACAAACTTGAATTTGAAATCCATGCAGCTCCATCAACATTCCAGACATGTTTGCTTGGGCCAACTGAGGATGGTTTTGCCCCTATTTTGGTTGAGAGCTATGTTGCACTTGCTAAATTTCATGTCTATAAGTCGAACTTCAGAGGTTTTGAACTGATTGAGACAAGAACATTCAAGTCCACAGCCTTGGAATTTGGTGGCTTGTATCTTTGCATGGATAAAAATCCTTGTAAAGAAAAGTGGCTTTTGTAGAAGCAGTTTAATATAAAGCAAAGTGTTTTGGTCAACCTTTAAAAAAAACTGAAAAATTAAAAAAAAAATTGGCCCATGATTTTTTATTTTACTATTATTTTTTTACTACAAGTTGCTGCATTTGTTTTTTAAAGTAATTGTTATGCAAAAAATAGAGGTTTATTACCTTACGTAGTAGAAAAATTATTAGTTTATTTCCCCCTTTACAAAAAGAAAGTATGAAAAAAGTTATAAATTACCACAGAAAATTTTAAAAAAAGAATTTTGATATGTCATGTGAACCTTTTGTTTGATATATACATATACAAATTCATAACAGCAAAAGAAACTACCAAGTACTGGTATAAGTTGTAAATTATCATAGAAAATTTTAAAAAAAGAATTTTGACATCTAAAGAGAAATAGTTTTGTAAATTTTGAATGAAGTCATGTGAACCTTTTTTTTTTAATATATATATACACGTACAAATTCATAACAGCAAAAGAAACTATCATGTACTAGTATATTGGTAATTTGGCTATTTGTGTAATAAAAATTTATACATTTTCATTTTCATGTCTTAGCAAGTGTCACCTGCACTTTAAAGCTTTCTCCCCTCCAATGTATTTGCAAACAGAAAGTTGATTCAAGTTTTATAGAATACTGTAAACTACCACCTATAAGACCATTTACCTGTAAACCACAACAATGCATCTGACTATACTCCCCCCCTCCACCCCCCAATATAAGCCCCCCTCCAAATGCATTGAAAAGAATTTGATTGTTTATTATTAATGACATTTTGAAGCTTAATTAAAAACTAGGAGATGCAAAATGTATTTTTTTTTTAATTTGACCGACAGTGCTTTTCTCAACGTGTTTTTTCTATTTCAGTTAAAATTCCTCTTGAAAATCCATTTATAAGCCCTCATAAAACCATTACAATTTACATTACATGTATATATGAGTTATTACATTCTTATCATTGTCATTATCACTGCCATTGTTCTTATGATGATGATGGTGGTGGTTATTATCATTATTATCATTATTATTATTATTATTATTATTATTATTATTATTATTTTTATTATTATTATTATCATTATTTTAACTTTTTTTCTTTAATATTTGCACAGGTTCTCGTTGTCCTGGAAACAAAACATTTCATAACTTTAGTTTGGACGAAAGGGTTATCGGCTTCTAGCCTGGTCCATTCCCAAGACCTTACACTTCAAGAATCTCCCACAAAATGCTGGCTGTTCAAAGCAGATTTTCCACAATGACTGGTACATGTACCACTTTTTTCTTCAATTAAAATGTAAGTGCAAGGTCCTAATATTTTTTTCCCGTTTCTCTCTCTGTTTGTTTTTAACGTTTGTTAGGTGTCGAGACTGACGGCTTAAACCTTTTTCTATGTCATATTAAACCTCGCCAAGTGTCCAATTCTTTCCTCAGTATTCTTGCAGAGCCTAACAGGCATGCTTTCCCTAACAGATCTAATGCACATGCCTTTTTTAAGGCCTAAAGAACCTTGATAAGTCCCACTGGCACCATCTTCATAGCTCCAATGCACAATCAGCATGATCTTCACTTCTTCTGTACTTTTTGTTATTATCAATATCATTATCATAATTCTTATTGTTATTATTCTTATCCTTATTCTTATTCTTATTCTTCATGATCTTCACTTCTTCTGTACTTTTTGTTATTATCAATATCATTATCATAATTCTTATTGTTATTATTCTTATCCTTATTCTTATTCTTCTTATTATTATTCCATAGTGAATAATAATACACTTTTTTTATTTGTTATCGTCATTTTCGTCATCTTTATGTCACTTGAGCAATTTACTTTATGAAAACTTGGGAGAAAAGAATGTTTGTTCTTCACTCACCCCGTCCCCACCCCCTCCACCTCCAATCGATACAGCACCCTGTTTAAATTGAAACTAGAACCAACCCGTCAGTCGTATTTATCGTTAAATTGTTGACATGACACGACATCGACCATCCCTATTGGACGGCTGACATCGTAATTCAGCGAATGGGAATAGCCGCTACTAAAATGAAAAACCTGGCCGTATTGATATGTGCAAAGCGAGCAGTCACTCGGTTCCAGTCACTCCTCTTACGACTTTCGCCGGTGCAAACACGAGACGGCTCGTGTGAAGTCTAAATCCAAAACGAAAACACACGCACACACACTTGGTCTGACGCGTGGAATAAAACCGTTTACCGTAACAGCAACATTAATTTAATTTAGTTAAGCAGCACTTCACTGGCAGAATAATATAAAGAGCATAGAAGTATTTGATGTAATAAAATGCTTTAATTTTGGTTACCACTCTAATATGTACCTATGAACTAAGGTAAATATCGATCGCTCTTTTAGTCTATCTTCTTCACAGCGCAAGATATGTGATAATCGCTTTTTGCTTTTTTGCCAGCACACAATCCCCAAACAAACTTCACTCTGACGAAATGCAATAATACATTTTAAATACGCTCTACAAAGGCACAACCAGTTTAATGCCACAGGGTGGTTAAAGGGTCGAGGATCAATTATCCACAATCTTCACTGGACCGAATCCCTCTCGGGGACATTTTTACAATTTATTAAATGGCGCTACATATCACAAGATAATTACACATATCGTTTCTCTGTGACACAAGTCTTCTTGAAATCCCACTACAGATAATTAATAGTTATATGTAATACACAGCTTTGACTGTTCAAGTGAAAAAGTTGCAAAATGTGACATGTTTCGACCAAACGAAACATACAGTTTTCTCAACAGATAAATTCCATCTGTTGAAAGCAAAAAAAAAAAACGATCATGATATTTTCTAATGGATCAAAAACAGAGTTTTGACCATGTAAACATTTTTCTGTTAAGCATTGATCTTTCTCATATTACTGGCTTGCAAATAGCTGAAGTCTTTTTGTAGTTTATTCACTAGATGAGCTCCTCCTGAATATTCCATCATGATAGTGTTTCTGGTTTTCCTTACTGTCCTGTTCGCGTTGCCACCGTTAGCGACTACCCTCGTTCCGTTTCCCTTTCTAGCAAACCCCTGTAACTGAGTCTTTTTTCTTTCTTGCATTTCTTGGGCAACGGAGCGACGTTCACTATAGCCGAGTAAAGCTCGATTAGATTCGATCTGTTCTTCGACGTTCCAAGGGAAAGACTGCCTTTAGTGCCACACAACCCCATGTTTATAACTTGTTTGGCCGGAGTGAGCAAAAAATAGCACTTGAAAACTTGAAATCAGTGCCTAACCTCTTAGTGTTAGGGCGACGAAGTGAACTTAACTGACAGAAAGCGCGGTTTGACTAACTAAATGAAATACAGATATTTTCACATAAATTATTTTAGGTGCGGAGAAAATAGAAATAAACCGACGCAAAAACAGAAGAACGTGACAATCAAACGTCACAATTTAGCCTGGGGGGGGGTACTCCCATACATTACCTATAGGGGTATGTGCCGCCCAATGGGGTCGTGATTTTGAAGCTCCTGATTTAGAACGGGGTATCCATTTCAGAGGCGTTTTCTAGAACGGGGTATAATATTTCGAACCCACGAAAGCTCTCCACTTTTGTAAGCAGCCATTTGAAAGTATTCAAGGACAGATTGCTTTTAAACATATGGTCAATGCGTTAACAAGCAGA